AAAATGCCTTCTTGAGTGTGCCAAAGGACATTGGGTTAATTTCAGAAATACCTTTTGGTTTCCATGCTAACTTATATGCTGTTTTGAAAACAAATGGAGAACAAACCACAGCAGCAAATCAAAGTTGGGTAAAGAAGAGCATGAACTGATTGTACACTCATCAGGGATGTACGTACTTGTTACACTCCTCTCTGTGAACTCGGGAAGTGGCTGGGGGAAACAATGGCCTGTTTGGCTGTGTTAGAAAAGATTAATTTGAAACCAGGGACTGCCTCTGTAGATTTATGCTCCTTGGTTGCTTCACCAAAATTAAGAATGCTTTAGGTTGATGGGCTCATTTTGTTTTATCAAAAAGCTTTAAGTGCAGTTATGACTATTTCTGTTGGTCCTCATCATAACCTAAACATTTAGAACAGATGTAATCATTGCCATTTTTAAAAGTAAAAATGGGGGAAATGAGAAGATAATATGACAAAATACAGGTGGAGCTACGAATGGTAGAGGGAGACCATCTACAGAACACTATACCTTCTTCTCTTGTGTTTGTGTGCTTAGAAACTTATGAAACCAACATTTTCTAAGAAGCTAGCTCACCCAACTTGATAAAGCCTCTAAGAGTGCCCTTTCAGTGCAGATCAACATCAGAACAGCAGCTGGTGCCAGCGCGTGACATACACTCCTAGTGTGTGGTTGGGTGTGCAGTTTTCTTAGAATGGCTTTTCTTCACAGCCTTTCCCCCCCCCCCCCATTGGCCCCCTCCAACCTACCCTCACCATGCTTTCACTGCTCTATCATCTATCCATGAGTTATGCATATATGCATGTAAGTTCTTTAGTTAATCTCTTCCTGCCCACCTCCACCCCCCTTCCCTCTGAGTTTCGTCAGTCTGTTCCATGCTTCAATGTCTCTGGATCTATTTTGTTCATCAGTTTATTTTGTTCATTAGATTCCACATATAAATAAGATCATGTGATACTTGTCTTTCTCTGACTGGCTTATTTCACTTAGTGTAATACTCTGCAGGTCCCTCCATGCTGTCTCAAAAGGCAAGATATAGTTTTTTTTTATAGCTGCATAATATTCCATAGTGTACTAGTAAGTGTACCACAGCTTTTTAATTCTAGGAACTTCTCAAACTTTCCCTATTCGATTCAAACAAAAGGCATGTGAGTATCTAGAAAGCATTCAGCACTAATAAATAGCAGCAAAGAGAAAAACCAAACATCATAGGCAATGCTCATGTTCCACTCCAACATCAAGGGAGAGGTGTTACATGGAGAGTGGAGTTTCTGAACAAGTCCTGGCATAAATACATCTTCACTGCTCACCAGTATGCAATGGGAACAAAGTGGTAACAGCTAAGATTTTTCTACAATCAAAATAGTATAACTGAGCTCAGTTTTATAACACAGGAATAAATGTATCAAATCACACTAACACAGTTAAGAAATCTAATTTTTGGAAAAAACCAAGATGGCGGCATAGGTATACACCAGAGATTGCTGCCTCTCACAACCACTTCAAAAATACGACTAGACGATGGAACGGACATCACCCAGAACCACAGGAAGGCTGGCTGAGGGGAACTACAACTAGAAGGAAAGATGAAAGCATACCGAGACTCAGAGGAGGTGCGGAAGTAAAATACAAAGGTGCTGTGGTGTGTGTGGAGCGGGCTGGCGGCTGAGGGCGCGGTTGTCTGTTTCAATCGGGAGGGAGTCTCAGGCTCTGGGCTCCAGGTATAGACGAGTCTCTGGGGACCCAGACTCAAACGGGAGAAGCGGGACTGTCTGGCATCGGTCGGAACTCAAGGGCAGCTTTCTCTCCAAGGTACTTGCAGCAGTTGCTGGGACACTGAGAGGTAGAGCCTCTGGGGATGGGACTGAGAGCAGCCATAACTGCTCGCTCCGCCCGCCCCGTTGATCCCCTGCGACCCGCCCTGCCCAAGCCCTGTACAGAGGCACTTGCTGGATAGCCTCAGGCAAAGGCTAGATTAGCACCTCCCTAGAGGACAGAAGTCCTCCCACTGCAGACACAGCTGATTCTCACAGCCAGTTGGCCTGGAGGTCAAATCCCTCCCAGTGTGACCTACAACAATCAAGGCTTAACTACAACAAGACTGCGCACAAAGACCACAAGGGGGTGCACCAAGAAAGCATAAAAAAAATGCAGAGACAAAGAAACAGGACACAAATGACAGAAATGGAGGAAAGCAAACTGCTGGATATAGAGTTCAAAACCACACTTTTAAGGTCTCTCAAGAACTGTCTAGAAGCCGCCGATAAATTTAGTAAGGCCCTCAAAAAGACTGGTGAGACCGCCAATAAATATAGTGAGATCCTCAAGAAATCTAATGAGACCCTCGATGTTGTGATAAAGGACCAACTAGAAATTAAGCATACACTGACTGAAATAAAGAATATTATACAGACTCCCAACAGCCGACCAGAGGAACACAAGAATGAAGTCAAAGATTTGAAATGCGAAGAAGCAGAAAACACCCAACCGGAAAAGCAAAATGAAAAAAGAATCCAAAAATACGAAGATAGTGTAAGGAGCCTCTGGGACAGCTTCAAGCGTACCAACATCCGAATTATAGGGGTGCCAGAAGATGAGAGAGAGCAAGATATTGAAAACCTATTTGAAGAAATAATGACAGAAAACTTCCCCGACCTGGTGAAAGAAATAGACTTACAAGTCCAGTAAGCGCAGAGAACTCCAAACAAAAGGAGTCCAAAGAGGACCACACCAAGACACATCATAATTAAAATGCCAAGAGCAAAAGACAAAGAGAGAATCTTAAAAGCAGCAAGAGAAAGAAACTCAGTTACCTACAAGGGAATACCCATACGACTGTCAGCTGATTTCTCAACAGTAACTATGCAGGCCAGAAGGGAGTGTCAAGAAATATTCAAAGTGATGAATACCAAGAACCTACAACCAAGATTACTTTATCCAGCAAAGCTATCATTCAGAATTGAAGGTCAGATAAAGAGCTTCACAGATAAGGAAAAGCTAAAGGAGTTCATCACCACCAAACCAGGATTATATGAAATGCTGAAAGGTATCCTTTAAGAAGAGGAAGAAGAAGAAAAAGGTAAAGATACAAATTATGAACAACAAATACGCATCTATCAACAAGTGAATCTAAGAATCAAGTGAATAAATAATCTGATGAACAGAATGAACTGGTGATTATAATAGAATCAGGGACATAGAGGGGGAATGGACTGGCTATTCTTGGCGGGGAAGGGGTGTGGGGGATTCGGGAAGAGACTGGACAAAAATCGTGCACCTATGGACGAGGACAGTGGGTGGGGAGTGAGGGCGGAGGGTGGGGTGGAAACTGGGAGGAGGGGAGTTGTGGGGGGGAAAAAAGAGGAACAAATGTAATAATCTGAACAATAAAGATTTAATTTAAAAAAAAAGAAATCTAATTTTTAAAAACTATATGATACAAAAAGTTTGAGCAAATAGGTCTGCCTGCAAAGAGAAACATTAAGTATTTAATTGACAATAATTGTATTGCTCTTTCAAGAACTGCAGTAGACTCTAAGATTATCAAAAATGGTTCTGAGACCTTTAAAGAAAGGATTGAGATGATGCCATGGTAACTCAGTTGTTTATGATACATGTCTTGTTGTAAGTAGAAGTGTTCCATAATCACTATTACCACTGCTTCAGAGTACTGTAACCACTCCACATGGTAGACTATTAGTAGTTATTAAGGCCTTTCAGAATTCATTGGCAATCTCTGGAAATAATTACCAAGTTATTAACATAGACTAAACCAGTGGTTCTCAACCTTGGCTGCACATTAGAATCACCTGGGAATCTTTTTAAAATCCTGATTTCTGGGCCTCATCCTCCAGAAATTCTGCTTCTTTGTTACTAATGTTGTGGCCCCACCCCATAACAAAGAAACAGAATTTCCGGAGGATGAGGCCCAGAAATCAGGATTTTAAAAAGATTCCCAGGTGATTCTAATGTGCAGCCAAGGTTGAGAACCACTGCTCCAAAGAGACCTTCAAAATATTTTCATAGATTTGCTAAAATAGATTATAAGTCTGTTGAAAGTACTGGTAGTTGCTTTCATTTGTTGAGGCATTGAATGGAATTTTAAAAATTAGAAGCTAAAATTTGCAAGATTGGTTCGTGCATTGGGTTTTAACTGGATGGCAATGACTGAGTGGGGTGGCCACAGAAGCACCTTAGACAAGAGAGCCTTTAAAAGCCATGAATGCACCCAGCATGCTCCTGGGCTCATGACTGGCATTCACAAACGTGTTCCATGAACATATACCTCTGACCCTGTTGGAGAGAAAGTCATTGAAGATAGAGATTATCTATACTAATAAAAGTGTAATATGCTAATTAGACCAGACAGCCAAACGACCTTCCAGACTAAGCTGCTGTGGTGGGGGCCAAGGCAGAGGCAGTTAGGGGTGATTAGGCAGGCAGGGGAGCAGTTAGGGGTGGTCAGGCAGGCAGAGGTGGTTAGGGGTGATCAGGCAGGCAGGCAGAGTGGTTAGGGGTAATCAGATAAGCAGGCGAGTGGTTAGGGGTGATCAGGCAGGCAGTCAGAGTAATTAGGGGTGATCAGGCAGGCAGGCAGGCCAGCAGTTAAGAGCCAGCGGTCCTGGATTGTGAGAGAGTGCAGGCCAGGCTAAGGGACCGCCCCCCCCCCCACACACACACACCCCTGGGCACGAATTTCAAGCACCAGACCTCTAGTTTGCAATAATGTAGTAGATTGCATAGCTGTTAAACCTGTCCATCTAGGTGGGAGGAGGTAGGATTCACCTGGTGAGACTGGGCTCAGCCATTGTATATGATTTGGACAGGTTCCCACTCAGCCTCACTTTCCAGTGACTGTTCTCAATTCCAGAACTCAAGCTAGAACATGGGTGTTTTATTTGATTGTCTGTGGCTCACAGTGTTTTTGGGTCTATTGTGTAACAATTGTTGCTGGAATTCTTTTTTCCTTGGACTAACTTTAGGTGGTTAGATGATGCTATTATTGACGAGATCACGCCCAAGCTGATTGGAGATCGGCCCAATACGTACACCTACACCAAGGCCTTGGGAGAGATGGTGGTGCACCAGGAGGGCGGCAACCTAAACATTGCCATCGTGAGGCCCTCCATCGTGGGAGCAACCTGGCAGGAGCCTTTCCCAGTAAGTCCCTTCACCCCTTCACAGGACTCCTTGCTCTGCCTCCAGGCCAGCGTCCTTCTAGCCCAGTCACTTTCTGATCTCTCTCTCTCTCTCTCTCTCTCTCTCTCTCTAGCTCTCTCTCCCCTCCCCCCCACCCCCAGATGTATAGCTGAACCCGCTATATTAGGGCAAAATTCCACATTTGGTTCAGGAATTATTTAGCATGAAACTCCTCTGGGACTTACTGATCTGGAGTTGGCTGGAGATCTTAAATTAGCTTTTCATTAACTCTAGTCTTAAAATTTCCATAGGAGGTAATTTCATTTCTTGCCTTTTCCACTATAGTTTAAATATAGCAGACTGGCCCTAGCCATTTTGGCTCAGTGGATAGAGCGTCAGCCTATGGACTGAAGGGTCCCGGGTTCGATTCTGGTCAAGGCCACATGCCTGGGTTGCAGACTCGATCCCCAGGGTGGGGTGTGCAGGAGGCAGCCTATCAATGATTCTCTTTCATCATTGATGTTTCTATCTCTCTCTCCCTTCCTTTCTCCCTAAAAAACAATAAACATTTAAAAAATAAAAAATAAAAATAAATAAATTTAGCAGACTGTTCTTAATGGCAAAATCGTTGGCATCACCACTGCCAGGGTAAATCAAAATCACAAAGCTCACAAAAGCTTCTCAGCTTGGGAATAGTCACTGTTGACATCTGGGTACTGCTTTGTCCTTCTGTGAAGTTTTAGGGCAGATAAAATTGAGCTCCACTACTTACTGACAATGCAGACTTCTGAGCTGTCTCACTTGTAAAACTGGGCTGTTGCTCCCCACTGTGCCGAGACTATGAGATGGTGTGCGGGGAGTGCTCCGCAGTGCCTGGTCCCGAGTAAACGGCTCGGCGAATAATCCCTGCATCTTCTCCTCTCTCCTCTCCCTCGTGCATTTTGACTCTTACAGATGAAGAAACAGACATAATACGGCCCACTGACTTGCTTAGGGCTGAGGAGACAAACTCAAAAAGACATTTTCCTCCTACGGCTCCTAAGCATAATCTCTCCTCTAACATTTCTAGCAAGCTACTATAATACAGAGAGAGCGTGGATGGTATGATTCATAAATTCTCCAGAAATGGATAATTCCTAGAAATCATGTTTGAAGTGTTCCCCCAGGGAGATAAAAATCAGGCCCGAGCTGGAGGAAAATGATGACTGATGAATTGCTTAGCAAGTCCAATTTAGCCCCCAGGATGTCATTATAACAACTTGAAACTACCCATGGCTCCTCCTGGCAGAATTTTAATTCTTGCACAAATAAAGTGCAGAAATATACAGTGCTTTGCCATTGACCTTTCTGTGTGATGTGAGACCTACTGGATTAGACAATTATATTAGCTGGAGTCTCAGTGCTCCTGTTTGAAATGTATCAAGATTAGATTGCAAATGTTCCAAAGGTATTACACTTTTCTGACATGTGTAATCAATAGAGATCTTCTTCTTTATTTTAGGGTTGGGTTGATAACGTAAATGGACCTAGTGGGCTCATTATTGCGGTATGTATACTAACGTGGAAATAACTCCTTGAAATGTGGTGGAGAGATAGTAACTAACAACATGCTTAGTGTTGGCTTAACTTCATTGATCCAAAACCATAAATGTTACTTTACTAACTACAATTGAAGTACCTTATCTCAGTTATGGTTATTGGAAAATAGAGGCAGAATAAAATTATTTTTACTTGTAAATTTTATTATCAGAAAAACAGATGTACTGTAATATCAACGACCATTTAGGAGTTTTCTTTTTGGAAAGCCTTTGAGCATTGAGGACCATGCCTGTAGTTCTCTCTCATTACCACAAGATGGGGGTGTTTCCTCCTTTGCGCTGACCATTAATAGCTTGAATGCAGCGAACTGGGGATGCAATAAAAACCATATTCACAAAGATTATTAAATTCTTGATTATAAAACACATACAAGAGTTTCTCTGTGTGTGGATATAAATTATATAAATGCATAAAATATATCAGTAACCAGTTCTTAATAGATACAAGAAAGAGAATCACCAACTCGGGCAAAGATTTCAAATTAAAAATGGACGGATAGAGGAAACACTTTTCAGCACACCTCTCACAGACCAGGAGAAACGTTACTGGTTCCTCTGGGCCAACAGCCCTGTGTACGTGTCCCCTGCCGTGAAGACTGGTTCAGCCTGAGCTGGTGGGCGGGGGGTGGGGGTGGGGGGTGGTCACAGTTCATATTGAAGCATTTTAGGACCAGAACCACAACTCCACTCTTTAGGACAATGAACCGCAATTCAATTCTCTGAGTTTACAAACCTCATACCTCAGACACTGCCTGTGTTCTCAGAGCGAGGTCCAACAGGAACTAAAATTCAAATATAAGACAGTGAATTATGACCACTTGTCAAAGACAGTGAGAATGACCCTTCTGATTTCTTTTTTGCTCTAGCAGCTCCTCTCTTTTTGTTCTCTACCTGCCTTCCTCTTCTTTAAGGTTTAGTTATGGGTGGACATTGGTAACTTAGAATATAATTAATTATTTTCACATGACCCTAGAGTGTGTCTTATTACATTGTTTACAAAACTGCACATTTACTCAGTTATCTAAAATTTTCCAAACTGATTTCTTATGTCCAAAGGAAGGGGAATCAGTTACAACAAATTAGGAACATAAGAAAGTGCTAACACCAGTGAAAAAGGATGTTGGAAATATGCAAGGTATAAATATTTAATTCATAAAATAAACACAACTTTTTAGTTATTAACTGACTTATTAACATGAATAATTCCCAATTCTTACATCTATATAACATCAGTGATCTGTGAGGTGAACTGATACCAAAGGAAAAGTTTCCCAAGTAATAACAAAGTTGTTAAAAGGTAGATTTTTATTAATTTTTAAAAATAAATATTTCTTTAACTTTTAGTGTCTGCTCTTGCTTGTAAATTAGTAAGCACTAGCAGAAAGCATCATTAGGAAATGGTAAACTAATACAGTATAAATGGGAAATTGGGGAAAACTTAATGCTTATGAATTAATTTTTAAGATGTGAAAAACTATTCTTGGTGTTTGTTAATTAACTAAATATATTACCTCTCCCAAATTTGAGGACTTTCACTCCCTAGAGGAACCCAGGACCACTCACTAGTGGTTCATAGAAGTGTTGGCATTTGAGATGAATGTGGCTGAAAGGCTGGACAGGCTGTGACATCAGCCTTGGTATAGTAGTCTCGTAAGCAGTGGGTCAATGGTAGCTGTCATTACTAACAGCATCAGTATTCTCTCCAGCTGTTACTTGAGACCTGGCTTAATATTTTATGTCCTTCTTCCTGTGCAGACAGGGAAAGGGTTTCTCCGGGCCCTGAGAGCTACTCCAATGGCTGTGGCAGATGTGATTCCCGTTGATACAGTCGTCAATCTCACCTTGGCTGTGGGATGGTACACAGCAGTTCACAGGTGAGGATGCTAAGTTGGTTTTCTTTCAAATATTTAATGATAAGGAGGGTGAATATATTAGGCCTATTTTCAAAATATATGCATTGTACTGTAGAAGATCCCAAATGTGACAGGGTATATGTTTCAATATTTTACATAGTTCCAAATATATGCATTGAGTTGTTTTGTAAGTACTACTTAATACTTCATTGATCATAAAGTAACACCCTTTAAATTATTAAACCATATAATTCTTTTTTAAAAATATGTTTTTATTGACTTTGTAGAGAGAGCGGAAGGGAGAGGGATAGAAACATGGATGAGAGAGAAACATTGATCAGCCGCCTCCTGCACGGCCCCTACTAGGGATCGAGCCTGCAAGCCCGGCATGTGCCCTGACTGGGAATTGAATTGGAATCGAACCAGTGACCTCGTGGTTCATGGGTCAAAGCTCAGCCACTGAACCACACCGATTAGGTGAATCATATACTTCTTGATAACAAAAAAGCTTTTCTTTTTAGTTAGTAACCTAAAATAGAGCTTCCTGTTTTAAAGACAAAGGAAAAAAAGGGGATAAAATGAGAGCATATTTTATGTTTCACTGACCTGCTCAGTTCCTGATAAATGCCTAAAGTTCAGACCACCATGTATGGGTTATTTACTGAAACAAAGAAAAGAAAAAAAAGGTTGTTTGCATATTTGGCTCTGTTAGTAAATGACAAATAGAATTAAATGCTTTTTTGAGTCAGACTTTCCAAACCAGCAGGACTTAGTTGGATTTAGGAAAAAACCTAGCCTGTATTCTTGCCCAATAAACATGTCCATAATTTAGAAATATGATCATTCTCATCATCATTGATGCCAAAATTTCTGTTTGGGTCTAAGTTTGTTGTCTTGCAAAACCGAAGAATGCGTTCATGGACAAAAGCAAAGTTTATTAGAGATAGTAAAGTAATAAAGCTCCCTGCAGCAGAGAGGGGTCCCCAAATGGGTTACCACCAAAGCTTCTTTGTCTAGGAGTTAATATGTGCCCTGCTAACTTCCCATTGGTTGGTCTGAAAAATTCTGCTCTAGCAATATCCATACATTTTAAACTTCAGGGTCTCTGCTTTTAACTGCCTAGTCTCTTCTAACTCCTCATCATGACACCTCCATTTGCTCCACAAATATGTCAGCCTATTTCTCTTCAATCTCTTACACACACACACACACACACACACACACACACACACACACTTTTCCTCCACTTCCTCCATTTTGCTTAACCAAAAGAAGGAAGGTTGCCTAGGTTACCTTACTCATGAGAATTATTGAAACATCCTTTTTAAAATATTATTTTCCCTTATCTTTCTTTGGTGAGTTCTCCATTTTGTTTTATTTACCTAAATTTTCTTCTATTTTCCAGACCTAAGTCAACGCTAATCTACCACTGTACTTCTGGTAACTTGAATCCCTGTTACTGGGGCAAAATGGGTAAGTGCCCATAGCAATGTAACTACATCACTACTATGTCTGCCACAGGGGAAAAATTAGACCAATTGTGTCACGAAGCTTAGAATCTAATGGGGAAAAGCACACACACACGAAAATAAGAGCTAAAATAATTACAACTGTGTATGTGTAAGAGGTAAGTATAATATACCAAAGAAGGGTCAGTGGGAACATCTGCATGACTATAAGAAATAAGCAGTCCGTTAGTTATAAAGATTTTTAAAAATAAGTAAAACCAAGTAGATGTCAGCAATAAGCAATGTCAGTGATCAAACACTGCTCCTGTGGGGGCCACTGTTCCTGCTGCAGCCACTGTTCACTGCATTGCTACATCCCTAACAATGTGAAACGATAGATTTAGAAAAGTCCAACAATATAAACTGTTATTGAGTCAGGGATACTCTTCACTAATTATGCAGTTAGCCATAAGAGTCAAGTTGAGCCCTGGCTGGTGTGGCTCAGTTAGTTGGGTGCACTCCTGTGCACCAAAAGGTTGCTGGTTTGATTCCCAGGCAAGGGGGCATGACCGAGTTGCAGAAGGTAGCCGATTGATGTTTTGCCCTCACATTAATGTTTTTCTCTCTTTCCCTCTCCCTTCCTCTCTCTCTCAAAATCAATAAAAATATTTCCTTTAAAAAAGAGGAACCTTGAAGGTGTCTGGTTGAATGAATGAATCCGGCATAGAAGAGAAAATTAGCTAACCAATCTTGAACTCCTTTGTCAATTTAGGAGTTGATTTTCTTGTCAAAATCTGAAACTTTAGATCACCTAGCTATTTTTAAGTACTAGATGTAGAAAAAAATCAAATGTACTTAATATTTTAGAATCTGATTTCTAATTCAGAACACTTAATTGCTATCTGCAAAGTTATCACTTCAATGAAAATTAAGTGAAATTCTCTAGCAGTAAAATTCTTTAGAGCATATATCCAGTTATTTAGATTATCTAAATAATTCTGAAAACATATGGAAATAAAAATATAAAAAATATATCTCCTCTACCACAATAACAGAATTAAAATATCATTCATAAAAAGAGGCATTAGCCACAAACAAGATATTTTAAGCTCTTGAATAAAAAGATGTTACGTGTAAACTCTATTGCTGAGATTCAAAATAGTCTTCTTCCATGCCAATAATTCTTAATATCTTTTTTATGGAATTATAGAATCTCATAGTTGAAAGTGACCTTAAAAATAATCTGGGGGTTTGCTTTATTTTACATATGGGACTGAGACTAAATGACTTATTCAAATTCGTATGGGGAGCTGATGCCTGAGATTGAAGACAGGTCTCTTGCCTCCCTTGAATGTGTAGTAACCACTCCACTAGTGATTCTTAAAAATATGAATTCCTCTGGGAGGAAAACAGTCCAGGTTTCTGGTTCAGATGTTTCTTGAGAATCTGTTCTGTATAAGGTATATATTTTTTCATGTAGATTTCTAAGTATCTTTTAAAGCAATAATCTTATTACCATAATAACTGCTGTCTTCATCATAATTGAATAATGCATTTATGCATATTCTTTGAACATTCTACATAGATAAAATGAAAACGGAATACAAATGAATATTGAAAATTATTATTGACTTTGCAAATGTACATTAAAAATTTTAACGTGGCTTTTCCTAAGTAAAAATATGTAAAGAAAAAATATATTATGAAAAAAACCTTTGGAGATAAGAGTAGATAATTGAGTCTGATGTATTCTCAGAGAAGTAGAAATCCCAAAGAAGTAAAAGACTGTGGTCTTTAAAGTGAACCTGCACAGAGGAGTCCTGCCTTTACCATCTCTCTTTCCCCTGAAGCCCTGAGGTTTAAGGTTTAAGTAGCCCTTTATAAGGTTTAAGTAAAATGTTACGAAACTTTCCTGTTGGTTCCTAAAGTAGTGATCCAAACAAGGAAATAGGGCCCTTAGACTCTGTCTTGGGACTTTTAGAACAGGCTAAATAACCCTGAAATTGAATGATGGATTTAAGTTTTTCTGAATAACATTCACTATATTGATTAAAACTATTTCTTGTAGAAGTTGCTTTAGACTAAAGATTTCAAAAAAATGACCCAATTCTTAATCTATTCACTGCTTAAAATTTGCAGGTGATTACTTGCCAGGATAAAAATCTTAGTAATGTTCTCAGAAATTGAGTCTTGACTCTACAAAGCAAATACTTCTTCTTTACTGTTTTGACCGATTGCAAATGCCATCCACCACAATGGGTTTATGTGCTCCAGACTTACTCCTTATTTCATCCCCTGCTCCCCCCAACCTCACCCAGGATTCCAAGTCTTGGCAACCTTTGAAAAAATTCCATTTGAGAGAGCTTTTAGGAGGCCATATGCTGATCTTACAACCAACACCATCACAACCCAGTACTGGAATGCCGTCAGCCACTGGGCCCCTGCCATCATCTACGACTTCTATCTACGACTCACAGGAAGGAAGCCCAGGTGAGAAGCTGGGTCAACAGCTTTGAGAGTGTGGCTACATGGAAGATTAGGGCCCCACAATCCTTAGTCCTCCCTTCAGCTGGGGATCAGAGGTGAAAACTGAATCTCACACACACAGACGTACAACTTTTGGGATAACCAAAGCAACAGTAGTGACAAGCCCCATACCTTTAAAATCCTCCATGATAATAAAGGAAGTTAAATGTTAAGGAACTTGCTTGATGAATTTAGCAAGTACTCATCCACTAAAAAAGAAAAACATCTGAGACCCTTGTGTCTGGGGTTTTCTAAATTGTTAGGTAATCTTCAAATGTACAATAATGATACCAGCCTCAATTACACACACATGGGAAGATGCATTTTCATTCTCATAATGCCCAAAGAGGACATGCTCATCATCCCAATTTCACAAATGAGGAAACAGAAGTTAAGGGGAAAATTGCAAATAGTCTCAAAGGAAGTGATGGAGGAAAGATCTGGAGGACTCTGGGCTAGATTTACTGCCACCTGGAGGTGAGTAAAGACTTTAGCAGCAGTTCTCAACCTGTAGGTAGCAACCCCTTTAGGGGTTGAATGACCCTTTCACAGGGTTCGCCTAAGACCATCGGAAAACATATATAATTACATACTGTTTTTGTGATTAATCACTATGCTTTAATTATGTTCAATTTGTAACAATGAAATTGGGGGTCACCACAACATGAGGAACTGTATTAAAGGGTCGCAGCATTAGGAAGGTTGAGAATCACTGCTTAGAGGGAACAGGGTAAACAGTATGCAGAGCTTAGATGCTGTCACCATGTTGCTGTTTGACACAGGACATACTGTTTTATCTCTGTCTCACTTGAATATTACATGTGTCTGAGGAGCCATCATGTCATTACCAAAGGCAACTTCTGCAACCAAGAATCAGAAATATGAATAGTCTTGCCTTTGGTGCTAGCTTCTTTATAAAGGAGGAAGTTTTTCTCAGCATGTTTCATTTCCATCCTTATTAGCGGAGCAAGTGACTAAAACATAGGCACTGTAGAGTTTATTTAAATTTTGCAGAGGCCTTATTAAGAGCTCATCACTCAGTAACTGTCAATTTCTCCTTGAACAAAGTGAAAAGGGGACACTGTGGCTATGAGGAAAATATTTGTATGGGGCTTATTACATAAAATGAGAAAAGAAAACAACATTGTAAGCAGAAATGCTAAAGACTTTATAAAATATATCAAGGATGGAAGACCTATATAAAGAGCAAATTTTAGTAAGTAGAAAAGACAAAGAAGGGACCCAATACAAATCTTTATGAATTTTGTTCTTGATTAATTAAATTGTAATATTTGTGGAAAATTGGTAGGTTTGTTTTTGATAGACATTTTAATAATAATCTTTATGGCAGAAAATGCTAGAGTCCTTCTAGAACCTTCCCTCGCCTCGTGTATTTGATCTATGCATTTACAACCACATATGGAAATACATATAGGTTTGCTTTGAGGTAAACAAATACCAGTGCACATGAATTTTTTTATAGAATGTGCCACTGGTTTGGCGAAGATGCTGAGGGGTGGTTTTGCTGGATTGAAGTATATTTGGTTGCCCTCAATGGACAAAGGTTCTGTCCATTTGCAATTGTCAAAATAAAAACAACAAATGGCATCTCTTTGTTACTTTTATTTGAGCCCCAAGTCGTTAGCACTCCCTTGTGTTCATAAAATATTCAAGTTTTGTTCATTAGACATTCAAGTTTTCTCCTCCATCAGTTGTTCATTAGACATTATTAGACATTCAAATTTTCTCTACTCTGAGTTGCTATTTCTCATCTATTTTTCTATTGGGTTGGCCTTAATAATTTCTGGAAACTCGTGTGTATGTGTACACAACTATATTTGACTTATTTCCTCTAAGTCTGTTCCTTATAGCTTTGAAAATGAAATTTTTATAATACAAGGGGAGCTACATGTAAGTTTGGAGTCTGACTTCTGACTTCACCAGTTTAGCCACATGAGCCCTAAATTACTTAACCTGCCTGAAGCCTAACTTTCTCACCTGTTAAAAAAAAAAAAAAAAAAAAAAAAGATAGTAATAGCTATTTTATATGGTTTTGAATAAGAGCGTGTAGAATACAGTAACACTATTATTACTAAAAGAAGTTCTAAATTTTTATGTGATAAAATGAATCACGTTTTGGCTTTTGCATTTTATGTATTTTATGAGAATAAGAACTGTATTTTTTCTTTATAAAAAAAAATACTACTGTGCTGATAAAGTCCTGTACATATAATATCATTGCACGATGATTAAGAATTAAAACAAATCTATTGAAATTACATCAGTTACATCAGAGTTATAGAATGCATGAAGAATGTCTTATTTCATTTGGGCTGCTACAACAGAATAGAGGGCTTATAAACAACATAGATTATTTCCCACAGTTCTGGAGACTGGGATATCTAAAATCCAGAAGCTGGTAGACTAGGTATGTTGAGTACCTGCAACCTGGTTCCTAGACAGTCATCTTTCTGTGCCCTCCAATGCTGCGAATGATCTTTTATAAGGGCACTAATCAACTCCCAGTCTTCTCCTTTAAAGACCATCACACTATGGGGATGTAAGTTTCAAGATGAATTTCAGGGGAACACAAATATTTAGTCTGCAGCAAAGATGTTAGATAATAACAGCTAAATAGAACCCTGTTCTGATGCATTATTTTATCTCCTGCCAAAGAATTTCCCATGATACAATGAGAGTCCCTCAGGAGTCATTAAGTATGTGGGCATTAAGATTGACCATAAATAAAACCAAATTCCCAAAACAGCATAATCATTGCTGAGTTACTACTATCACGATCTGCCTGATTAAGGTGAAAATCAATTGTTCTATAGGCCAAAGGTGACTTGTACCCGTAAGTCCTAGGTTTAAGCATTAGCCATGTAACCACAAACCTATTAATAATCCTTCTGTAAAATGAAGATAATACAGATCTCGACTACTTCAGAGTAATACTGTGAAGAGCAATTAGACTGTATATGGAAGTTTTTGTAAGTTGTTAAGTTGGCAAGTTCACAAAGCCGAGCTGGTCCAAGTCCTGACCACAGGATTGGAAGCCATGGTCCACTTTAAGTAATGGGACACAGGATGGCGAGATTACAGAAGCAGAGGCTTCTTGAGGTCAAAGCTGGTTGGAATTTTGGCTTCCACACCTATTATTGTGGCCACTTTATCTTAAATTCACTTTACTGCATTCATACAGTGCAGATTTATACCTACCTACCTGGGATGCTATGAGAATTCGTGGAGATGAAAATTGGTGGAGGGACAGTTTTTCTTTCTCAAAGACAATTCCTAGAGTAACAGGGAAGCAGCCATCTCTGCTATGCTGATGATAGTGGCTCCTATCTGATCTTTAACTCAGGATGACAAAGCTCATGAATCGGCTTTTAAGAACTGTTTCCATGCTGGAGTATTTCGTCAACCGGAGCTGGGAATGGAGCACAAGCAACACAGAAATGCTGATGTCCAAGCTGAGTCCTGAAGACCAGAGAGTAAGTACAGCACTGACTTAGCCAATAGGAAAATCTTACTCACTTGGAATTTGGAAGTATTTGACCTGAAAAGCTGATGAATAAAGTTCTAGTTATATACACAGAATTTAAAAATATACATATTTTTATTGATTTCAGAGAGGAGGTAAGAGGGAAAAATAAAACATCAATGATGAGAAAGAATCATTGATTGGCTGCCTCCTGTATGCCCCCTATTGGGGGTCAAGCCCCAAACCCAGGCATGTGCCCTGACTGGGAATTGAATGGTGACCTTGTGGTTCATAGATCAATGCTCAACCACTGAGCCACACCAGCTGGGCTATAATACACAGAATTTTTTTTCTCTAAGAAAATCAGTCAATGCTATCAACACAGTTGCAGGAAACAAGCTCAATGTAGGTAAGAAATCAAGGGTCTTGGTCTTCTGTTAGATCCTCACTATTGTTCTGGGGTCTTCATATAGTTATCTTTAATTCTTTGTTCACTCTCCCAGTTGTTGCATTCTCAACAAATCCTGGGTACCTCTATCTTTCCCCTAATAGCCATAGCATATCATTTCGATAAAAATTTCTAATTTTCTGCTTGTACACTCTCTCCTCCACTGTTCTTATCAAATCAAAATCATTTGGCATCTCTAAAATAGTTTATCTTTTTAAAGCTAAACTCAACTCCTATTTATCCTATCCCATAAAAGACCTCCCTCCATCAGTACTGCCCTCTCCCCAGCATTGTCAATCTTCCTCCCTATAATGATTTCTTCAACTCAGACTTTTATTTCTCAAAACATGCCTTCACTTTAATTGCTTAGCATCAGCGCCATTTATTTCTTTATATTAGCTTTGGTAACAAACAATAAGCCCTGAAATCTTTGCATATTCTGAAATTCACAAATATAGAAATATTTTGTGCTTTGTACATGCTCCTAGCTTTCCTTCTTAAGGAGTCAAGAGTTCCCTGATCATGTTATTAGTTTGCAATTTAACTTTAAAATTTTCACTCTCTTGATTGACACTTTTCCACTGAAATTTCTTTTTAAAGAAAAAAGCATTTCTTGATTTAACTCATTCTTGACAGCATGTACAAGAAACCAAGTCATATTGAGAAGTAAACACTAAGTGGGTAGCTAGCCTAGCTTTGAGGTTAAGGATTTTACTCCTAACATACCAGCCTCATAGAGCACGATTCAAATCCAATCCTAGAATTTATGCCACGGAACCAAACGGTTACTTGCACAATCTAACGCTATAAATGTTAGGCTGATAAACCAGATGAGATCTAGAAGGATATTTTAATTGAAATCATCACTGAGTACCTCTATAATTAACATGAAGTAGACCTACTTTCAGAAATGTTTACATACCTTGTACAAAATTCTTCTAAACACCTGTTTGAAATGCATGGTTGATTGATCAAACCAGCTTATTTAAAATAAAACCTCAAGCTATTGTACAGTATTTTAAAAAATAGCTTCAAATTTTATGTAGGCTTATCTTTATTGCATTTCTCCACAGAATTTAACCATCTAAATAATGCAAAAGGTAAATGAGCTTAGAGTTTCATTTTTGACATTTTACTATTTTAAGCTAAAATCACTAAAAATGTCATGAAAAAAATCAAATCTGTAGTGGATTTAACATACAATTTCAAAATGCCTTAGCAAAGATAACAGTCCTGAATACTTGGATTTAATTGCCAAACTCTGGGATGGCTCGGCTTCCAGTTTGATTTGCCCCACAGAATCAGGTTTCCTAACCAGGGCTTCACTGAAATCTCCCTTAGAAAAGTGAAATAGAATAAAAGAAAAGGCCGCTGTTTATATCCATGAGTACGTAATAGTGATACTGTGGAAAACAAACATATCCAAACAAAATGATACAGAATTACTTTTGGAAAGCAACTCAGCTTTGGACAAATCTATGAAACTCTTTGTAACTTGTTAATCTCATCTGTTCTCTTTGATAATACTCAAAATCATCTCAAAGATTTGATATATCTTACAATAAACACATATGTAAACAAAATAGAAATAAATTGAAATAGAATACGAAGTCAAGGATAAAATTGAAAAAATATAATGTCCACCTATAGTATACAAGATCCTACCTAAGTCATTCCCGTTGAAGCAGTGAATTTTTTTGGTGAGCTTTTTGGTGGAAAAGGAAAAGGGAAAATAGTTTCATGGCATTCTTTGTCCAGGAGAAAACGTACTAGTGTTTCAAGAGAAGCAAAGCTTTCCTTACCACTTAACACTAAAAGAACTGTTTTGAATGGCTTCATTTAATGGCACACTGAGACATAATGGATATCTCTAAAGCAAATACAAAATATAAATTCTGCTAAGCTACTCCTTAAGGCTTTGCTTTCCAAAGTTTGCTTTAATCTGCATAAGTAAGTGCTGATATTGTAGGAAAAGTAGGTAGACCAAGAGACACCATCAACATTTAAGAGAAATGGAAAGAAAATGATGCATAATTTGTTTTGGTCCCTAACATATTATTCCATCACTTTTAAAAATTAATCCATCTTTACATGAAATGAAATTAGCTTTTACCAGACTAATAACAGTTCCTTAAATTTCCCTCACAAGATTTCCTGAAGATAAAGTGTTTGTGCTTGATCCATGTTTAAATATTGCAAGGAAATGGTAATCTATATTATCAGGGCCTTCGAAATAGCTGCTCAAATAATCTTATTTGGAGGGATCCAGCTAAGTCTTCTAAACTGACTGTTGCTCATTTATGTAAAAGAAAATTAAGTGAACGAAGTGATTGTCCAGCCGTGCAATTCTGGCAATCCTTTTATCTTTTTGCCTTTCAGGTATTCAACTTTGATGTACGCCAGTTGAACTGGTTGGAATACATTGAAAATTACGTTTTAGGAGTCAAGAAGTACTTATTGAAAGAGGATATGGCTGGGGTCCCAGAAGCAAAGCAACACTTAAAAAGGTAAGCATAGTCGGTCAGTTAATATTTGTGTATCTGATTTTACACCAGACATGAAATCTGAGCCAAGGAAAGGAGGAATTAACATTTTTTCAGCTTTTACTAAATAATAGGTCCTTCCCTTTATACTATGCCCTGTGATACACTGTTTCATTTACCTTCACCACACCCCTATGAGGCATTCTTTCTGTTATCCCATTTTTATCAATAACAATGGTAATTTGTTCATAGTCACACATGAACCCGTGTCTTTGATTCTTCTACCACACCCTACCATGTGATATAGAGAAAGAATACCCAGTAGGCAGGAGACTGATCAGACTATGTAAAATGGGCCTAACCACACTTCAAGTCCTTCAGCTGCCTTAAATTTGTCATTAATCCCTTCAAGGACAAAGACTCACAACAGTCTGGTATAATTCTGGCAGAAGCAAAGGGTTAATAGAGATAGTAAGGATGAAAAAGTAAGCTGAAAACAGAGTGGAACCTTGAACAGTAGGTTGAGAACATTAGGATTTACCCTCTAGTGAACAGGAACCAGTAAAAATTTGTGATATGGTAATATGATCAAAGTACCTTTAAGAAAGACTGTTAGCCATGTCTGTAAGATAGGTTACAGTAGAGAGAAATATGATAAATAGAAACTAGTCAAGGCAATGTTATGGAAATCTGATAATTGACAATGTTGTGGAAATGAAAGATGAAACTCAAAGGCTTATCAGGTCATACCTGTAAGCATTTAATTATTTGCTTGTGATAGCCAGAAAGAAACACATTTATGTTTCAGATAATAGTTGGGTATTTGGCACTGTTTTAACTTTGACTATATATGTCCATTCCCCAGGCTCCGAAATATTCACTACCTCTTTAATACTGCCCTCTTCCTCATCGCCTGGCGCCTTCTTATGGCAAGATCTCAGATGGCTCGGAACGTCTGGTTCTTCATCGTGAGCTTCTGTTATAAGTTTCTCTCCTACTTTAGGGCGCCCAGCACGCTCAAGGTCTAAGAACAGTTGGCAGTCTTCATTTATCTGGTACCTCTCAGATACATCTGTAACAGCAAACTGTGGTCCTCAAGACTACGAAGTGGCAGACTATGCCCAACCTCATCACCTGTCAAATGTCCTGTCATGTATTTACCCCTATTTCCTATTTCTATATCTTTTTTTTTCTTTTAATGTGAGAGAATGAAAGTCATAGCCAAACATATTTTAGGAAAAAATAATTTCCAGATTGCTTCCTAACACTCTATGTCCTTGAATATAAAACACCAAAGTACAACCCTCTTTCCATATTTAGCGTTCTTCTCATTGAGAGGACTAACTGCAACTCATTAAACACAGAACACCCAGAAGTGGAAATATGCTCAAGAAAGGCAGTTCTAGCCTTGAGACCAGTCTGGGGTACCCAGTATAAAGGTTTAAAAGCAATCTAAGTGGAAGAATGGTTTCAACATCCTCACAGATGCTGTAACCTTCTACTTAAGCTTATTTTACTCAGGCCTCAATAAGAGTGATGAAATGGAGAGGAAGCTCCTAGGCTGGAATCATATAAAAACCCAGTCTCTTGATCTTGGCATTGAGGAAAAACAAAACTTTAAACACAAATTTAAATGCTAGTCTCAGTCTTTTTCTATAAAGTGGGGAAGATTACTCTAGTGAGCACCAGATCATTAGTGTGTCTAGTGTCTCGATCATTCCAATCGCACATTGCTAATTGTACAATGTACAGCAGAAAAGGACAGACTTCATTAAGTGACTACATTTAGAGAATAGGTGTTTTGTTTAAAAATATTTTATGTATAATAAAAATGAATTACTAAAAACTATTTATTCCTAAATTTCTATATAACTATTACCCTAACTTTCATCTTGAGAGATCAGTGCATACTGATTGCAGTTATCTCATGCTAAAAACATGGGTTATTATTCAAGTTTAATAATTGGGGCCCAATTAAAAATAATCACAATTACTAGACAATTACATGAACACAGAATGTTAACATGTTTATGCTCACTAGCTGGAATAATTGGTACTCAAAATGGCACATTGAAGTAACTGAGGGCAGCTTCTAGGATTACTTGAGATTTTTCTGAACCCATAAAAGGCATTTTGGGGTAACTCTTCTGGACAATATCCACCCCAATCTCATCTAAGTTCTGGGAATTACTTTCCAGGGCACACAACCCAGCTCTGAAAAAAACAGCTGGTGATCTTTAGCTTAAGATGTCTATACAATATTTTTGAGTTACACTGATAACTACAGATACAGTAAAAATGAAATATATATAATTCAATGAGACTGGATAAAACATAATAGTTCTAAGAATTTACTATCTTTTGATTGTTTTACCAACTCAATAAATTCCACTGATCAAGTAGTCATTTTGACTTTTGATTACATGGAAATTTGAATTAAGATTGTTTTTCTTTTTCAGTATTGTGTCTTTAACCCTCCCTGATAAAAAATGTAATCATCCCAAGAACCTACCAGTTCAATACAAATTAACATATAAGAACATAATGCTCCACTTTTGCTGACCATTAATAGGGTAGCATTTATATGCTGCAGTGTTTTCTACCTGTCGTATTAGAGACATGACATAGTTCTCTTGTAAGCAGTGAAAGCAGATAGGTATCTGTATGAAAGAAGTGATTTTAAATCAAGACTAACAATTATTTGAGTGCCTAAGATATACAGTGCAATGAGGGGGGAAAAAACCCTCCTATTTTGGGGGGGAAGGGGATGGTAAGTAGAAAGAAAAGGTATTTATAATTGAAAGTTTTGGTAACCCCTATATTCTGCACTCACTAAATACCCGATACAGTAATAAATACTACTGAGTTGAAGACAGTCACCACGTAAGGCAATTAATATTAGAGAAAGTTAGGACAGATGGACACAGAACTCAGAAAAAAACATTTCTCACAATTTTATACTAACCTAACATCATTATCTCCACTTATTACTTTAAAATAACTGATTTAGAATCTCAAGGTAAACAGACTGACCCAAGGGACTAACACCCAAATAATGTGTTCTCTCACAATAAACTTAATAGTTAATGTAGGTCAGCCTAAAATTTCCAAAAACATCAATAATCTGCAAAGTTCACAGGAGTTACATGCAAATTTCCACATGGCTATTTTTCTAAAACTGCAAATCTAATGTTCTGGAAACATAAGCAACTACCTATACTAAAATGTAATGGTTGCTCCATATGTCCGCACAGAAGTATGGAAAAATGCTCAGTGCTAGATTACTTTACATATATAAGTTAGTACTTGAATTACTAACCTCAGACATGAAAACAGAATGTATGTAATTTAGCCCTCCTCTTACGCCATTAAAAAATTAAGACATCTTAGTCCTTTATGAATTAAGTTTGTATTAAAGATTGTAAATTTTGTTTGCATTCATAAATTTTTAAAAAATTCAGTGCTTTGTATCATAAAATGCATGAGAAAAGCATATTAAATTATCTGAGTTGAAAATAGAATTTTGTAATTCTGAGTTAAGCTTTTCCAAGAGGTAGTCTGAAGTGTACAAATACTGTAGCAGAGAATTATTCACCTAAATATTTCATCTCTTCTTATAGGCCAAGGTATGCAAATAATTAAAAAAAAACATTTCATATAATTCAAGGTCTCAAATTCAAAATATTTAGGCTGAAATATATGTGTAGATATTATGAACAGCCTAATAAAAAGGATTGAGTTAATAAAGTTAGGTAGGTATCCTACTGAAGGCATCCCCAGGCATAAGCCAAATAGGTCACTACATATAGTGTTCAAAGCAACACTTGGTGAAATCAGAACACCTAACAAATCTTAATATACACGTATATTTCATCATCCATCATCCAAAGGACTGACAAGAATCTTATGTTTTGATTGCCAAAAAATCTGATCTTGCTATTCAAGGAATTTCAGCTGGAAATCTTTCTTAATTTTTAAAATGAAAATCAATAGCAAAGCAAGATTTTGCTTTGAAGAAATTCCTTTTATAGTTTTAATGGGAAAAAATAATTCCATTAACATTTCAATATGGTATTTGAAAAACATGAAAACAATTAAAAATCATATAAGTACCTAAATAATTTTTAAAATTCTTCTTAAAGTATATATGCGCCCCTATGTTCATAGCAGCACAATTTACAATAGCTAAGATCAAGAAACAGCCCAAGTGCCCATCAGTAGATGAGAGGATAAAAAAGCTGTGGTACATTTATAACATGAAATACTATGCAGCAGTAAAAAGGAAGATCACTTACCCTTTGAGATGGCATGGAGGGACCTGGAAAGTATTATACTAAGCAAAATAAGCCAGTCAGAGAAATACAAATATCACAACTATGTGGAATCTAATGAACAAAATAAACTGATGAACAAATAGATCCAGGTACATAGAAGCATAGAACAGACTGCAGAACCTCAGAGGGAAGGCAGGGGAAGGTGGATGGGTGGGAAGTAATCATCCAAAAACTTATATGCATATATAGATGTATAACCCATGGTCACAGACAATAGGGTGGTGAAGGCCTAGGGCAGGGGGGCAGGCTAGAAGGGGTTATTGGGGGAGAAAAGGGAACATGTGTAATACTTTCAACAATGAAGATTTAAAAATTTTAAGAGATAGTTAACTGCTATAATCCTATAAGAAAGAAAATAATTCTAAATGGTTATTGTCTTTCCTCCCATTAAAAAACAAAACCCCTGGAATTTGATGGAATTCTCTGACAAGCAGACTCATAGAACCAACAGTCTAATAAAAATAGCTAAAATTCTAATTCTCTCCAGTTAAAATTCATTTTGAGAGATGCTCTATTAGTTTCTAGTCTTTCATTGGAAATATCTGAAGAAATAAAAAAACATATTCATTATTTGGAATTTTCTGGATTCAAATAAGTTTCAAAGCCTGTTATGTCACCTGTATTAATCAGTTAACTTTGTGGCTTTTAATGATAAAATGCATTTTAAACATTGATGCTTGTTATTTTCTGCAAAATACCATTCAACATTAAGCTTTACTGCAAAGTTTTTTCAGTATTTCTCCTCTCCATTACATTACTGTCCAAACTGTTTTCAAGAAACCATTTTACTTTTTAAAAAAATCCGTTTGAAAAACTACAACTTGTGACAGCCTGTCCTCTAAAAACCATGATTTTTAAATCTAGCTTTTTAGCCTTGGCCTTGGTCCTTCCCGGAATTTTTGTTTCCCTATTTCCCTAAGTGATTTACACCACGGGGACTGGGTGAAGATTCTTCTACTAACATTAAGTATTACCAAGGAAACTGATGTTGGCACACATATTCCAAATAAGGTTTTAATGGCACCTGAATGATATCTCCCTCTCATTTTTAATCTTTTTATAGTCTGAAAATTTTAAATCAAGTCTTAAATAGTAAGAAAGACAGAACACCACAATCTAATACAGAATCAACCACATTCAGAACATTCTGAATGCAAATACCTCTTTCATCCAGTTTGATAGTTTAACGGAAATCATTTAATGATAACCTCTCAGATATGACATCTTGTTTTGCTTAAATAGCTGCCTCACACTTTTATTTTATTTAAAGTTACCCTGTCGCCTACTCACCACAGCATGTATAAAATATTCTACTTTTCTTAATATTTTACAAACTGATAATTTTCATTATCAGTAGTGTATCTTTTTATTACTCACCCCCTGCTCCCACAGTATACCAACAATATGATCAGATTAGAAAATTTAGCATCTTTTAAAAACATGTGCTTTCTTTTCCCTGTATAAGTGCCCACCATCCAATTTGTGAATGATTCCTGTTACATATTATAGCACCTATGTATCTGCCCCTGTAAGAATTCACCTTAGTCTTTGAATTCACCTGCCTTCAATAGTTAAAAAAGTCAATAGCCAGAGGTTAAAGAAAAGCAGTTACCTTCAAAAGACCAAACTATGGGATAAATGGTCTTGTCATTATGGCTTAACATTAATATGGCTATGGCATGTGAACCCATCCCTGTTTACCTTTATTAACAAGGTGACCTGATCACAACTTTTTAAAGTTTAGACTAGTTTTCCATATTTTATTCTGACATATTTTAAAAACAAAAGGACGCAGACATTAGCACTATTAATGCCTTTTTCTTTAGATGTGGTTTGACCTCTTTCCTTCAGCCTCTTCAAGGTCCGATTTCGACACTGCCCATTTGCTGTGAAAATATCAGAAGGGGTCATCTTCGAAGCACTATTCCAGTTGGACTTATTCACTGATTAGCTGCATAATTTCTTCTAAGACATTTGTAACAGACACAACATATATAGGATTTCAGTTTGGGTTTTTTCTTTTTTTTCTAGGTATGATTCCTGCTTTTCATTCATGTTTTTTTGTTCTTTTGAATATATTGCACAATATTTTATTATTAAAAAAGGTTTGATGTCTCAGGCAAAAAGTTTTTCTCCTTCACCTAGGAGGTGCTAATGTGTACTATTTTCTAAAAGAGGTAAGTGGTTGTCTGTGTGGCCATCCGCAAAGGAAACCTAGGGAAAAAAGACCAGAGCATCAGTTTTACTCATTACACTAGTTCCTCTAAACACAAGGCTTTATTGGGGACAATTTTTTTCTGGGCACCAAAAGATACTGTTTAGATTTAACAATAGTACTACGAGTTAGAGATCAGTACCATTTATACTATACCACTTACAGAATTGACGGGTTTATAGGATCCGAGTCTGAAACGACAGCAAATTATTTCAACTATAAATTTTCCAATTCCATGTAACATGCCTATAATAAAAAAATGTTTTAATTAAATTATGCTATAATGTAATTATTTCCTAAATAATATAAAACTGAACTATAATGGTATAGATTAAGGAAGGAAAGAAAGCAGTCAGCTTTACTCCCACAGTTAAAAGAAATGACAGTTAAATTTTAAAACAAATGAATTTATTTTCAAAATCACAAGATCCAATGATTCCTGAACTTGACAAAGTAATCTTTTCAAGAGTGCTTAATACATCTTCCACCCACATAATTTTAAAAAATAAATACCAGCACCACAAATTTAAATGCATTTAAATGAAACAATGACAAAGACTTTTATAAGAAAAGCTAGTCATTTATCTAAAAAATATAATTCAAAGTATATAAACTACTCAATCCATGTAATACTCAATATGGGTTGGGGATAAAGAACGAACTATTTCCTTTCTCTATTAATTGTACTTAGTTAACTCTTACAATTCTGCAAGTAATTATCTTTGAGAGAATCCCATTAATATCAGGGCAAAAAGGTCAAAATCATAAAAACACTGACTGAACTATCACATAGCTCCAAGTACCATTAGATATTATTTTACATATCATACAATTAAAAATACTTTAAAACAAATAGAAAATTTACATTCACGTGTCTAATATTTCTAGGCATTTTCTCATCTAATTCTACAACACACTTGCAAGTTAGGAACCATTATTCCCTTTTTTATAGATGAGAACAATTTCAGAAAAGGTAGGCGATTTATACAAGGCTATCACTATGTAAATGGGAGAACCTGGATTCACTTCCAGGATCTGTCTAGCTCACTAAGTAATCTCCCTTAAATCACTGAATGCAGTGAGTTTAGGTATGCTTAATCCATTAATTTTGGAGATTTGGAATGAAGTCTTAAAAGAAAAAGTTCTTTAAATATCAAAACATGAAAAAGTGTATATATTTTTGCCCCTTTTAAGTACAAACATCCTAATTTCAGTGTCAGCAACAGTTTTAGAAATTAGACAAAAAAGGAATGAATCCTAACCTGTTGTTGAAAAGATTCCTCCAATGATGCCACAGAGTCTTACAAAAAACTGCCAGAATGGCATATGTTCTTCAGTAACTGTCACCATAAGAGAACTGAGATCATATTTCATAAATATCCCAGAGAATCCATGGCTGCCTGCAGCATGGTTAATGACACGTTCCTAAAGGAAGGCAGAGGAAGGGGAGAGAGAGGAGGAGAAGCAAAACAGGGCTTATGTCAGCTGGTTACTTACATACAGTCACTAGGAAGCCCTACACCCTTACTGTGGGAGAGGGACAGCCAAACCTCTGCACGAATTGCCCCACTAGTCTAGGGTCTTAAGAGACAATCGAATTGTTCTGTATTCTTTGAGTGGTTAGCTTTAGAAGCAATCTAAAGGAGAAAATTATTCTTTCTGATTTTCTCTTAAAGGTCACTTAACATACAAATTTTCTATTGAGCTCAAGAGCTTATAACTAACTATGTGGGACATTCTTCATTGACCAAATCAATGAAAACTAAATTCTTATTTTGACATATTTTTTATATTTCTTTGCTAAGCACTTACAAAATAATCATTTACTTCCTGTTATTTAAATGATCAGATTTAAAAACAATTTCACTCTCTGCTGTTCTTTTAAACATGAGATATAGTACAGGAAAAAAATAGTGCATTAATTTTAAAGATATCAATATTTGGTTTAAACTGGTTCAGTGTTTAAAAATTTGTTTTCTTGAAAGAAAGGAAACTAAAATTATAAACCTACCACACTGCACACTAAGAAAATATTCTACTTCATTCCTTCTGTTCACACTTCAAAATCAAGTTTGCAAACTTCCTAAAACATTTCTATTATAGCTCAAAACAACTATACTATCACAATGCTTTGTTATGACTTTTATTGTTAGGCCCTACCTTTTTTTGACTCAGCTACAATTGAACTGCAAGCTTTAGAATACAAATAACAAGGTAAGTTAAAACAATTTTATTTGGACATTGTAAAACCTGTCTCCCTATTAACACAATAGAGCCTTATAAAGCCATTGTTCAAGTTTCCAATAAAGTGACTTCATCTTAAAGCCCTGATAAGTTCAGCCATGCCAAAATATGCTCTCACCACCTTTATGGATGAAAGATATTTCAGGGATCAATCAGAATATCCATGGAACAAAAGACTAATAATGATCCCCTTTGGGTTGCAGGACCAATGAAGGCCACTCCTCCCAATTTCTGTCCCCCTCATCTTCCACTTTACCAACTCCAGGTACTCCTTTTGTGTTTTTTGTTTCTTAAGTGAAACACAACTGTTTTAGTCACCTTATTGGCACAAAATACTCTGCAATGGTCAAATGCTCTGGTATTCTATTTTTTATTTTATTTAATTCTTTAAAATAGAGGCCTGGTGCACAAAATTTCATGCACTGGAGTGTGTGTGTGTGTGTGTGTGTGTGTGTTTGTGTCCCTCTGCCCGGCCTGTGCCCGCTCGCAGTCCAAGACTCCTTGGGGAATATCTGCCTGCCGGCTTAAGTGGGCCTAAGCCAGTAGGCGGACATCCCTTTTGCAGTCCAGGACACCTCACTCCTTACCACCCGCCTGCAGCAGAGGTGGGAGAGGCTCCTACCACTGCCCTGCTCTCACCAGCCATGAGCCCAGCTTCTGGTTGAGCAGCACTCCCCCTATGGGAAAGCACTGACCACCGGGGGCAGCTCCTGCATTGAGCGTCTGACCCCTGGTGGTCAGTGCATGTCACAGCGACCAGTCGTTCTACCATTTGGTTGATTTGCATATTAGGGTTTTATTATATAGGATATATCATGAAGATAATTTCATATTGGTATACAGTTATATATTTTCTCTCTTTTTTTAAAGTTGCATGTTCCTCAATTGTGGATGTACCACTTAAGTTGTTTCTAGTATTCTATAAATAACACAAAGAATACCCTCATACACACATCACTGTGATATTTTCTCTACTTTTATCCTTGTATTCAAATCCTAGAACTGGGATTACTGAGTCATTGTATAGATACTGCTAGATTCCCTTCCTTAGAGACTATGCTGTTTTGCATTGCCATAGCAATGATGTGTGCCTGTTTTCCCCAAAGCTTGGCCACTATGTAGACCGACATCAGGTGGTGCCAATCTTAGTGAGAAATGGTGTCTCCCTACCCATACAGAAATGCACAATATATACTTGTGTACACTTAACCTAGTTACACACACACACACACACACACACACACACAGAGTTATTATACCAGTACATACTTGATTCCCCTGCTGAGCCATGTGAAAAGTTTTAAACACATGACACTTCACCCCTAAAATATTTAGTATTTAATCTAAGAATAAGGAAAATTCTATAAGCATTAAGGACAAAGCCATCACAAAGTATAAGACTATTAAAAGAAAACTCCATCTCAAGCAAATTTTTAAATACTTAAATTTGCCTTAGAATTCTTCTGAACACTACTATTTGAATATTTACCATTCTTAAACACAGTAAGAAAACATGACCCCAGAATAGATGAGAAATATTAAACTGTCCAATTCCAGCATTCTGATCCTGTCATATTTATTTATAAGGCCAATGCACCCTAAGGTTGCAGAACACTTGTCCTCTTAAGTAGACAAAGCACAAGTCAGAAGACAAACCCTCAAAATCTGTTATCTGAGCCACAATAAGCATGCATGACCAAGGTTAGATACATTAATTAAAAAAGAAGTAACACAGCAATCAGAGAATCTGCCAGCAAATAAGAAAACTGTTTATACCAATACATGAGAAAACATTACAAAATTAAGATATTAAGACTAAAATAATTAATGCCATCAATTTAATAACTTTGAGTTAATTGAATACAAAACCTTCCAGATTAAAAAAAATATATATATATATATATATATACTACTTCTTTTCTTTCACTAGAACATATTAACACCCATTTCTCTACTTCTTTTCTTTCACTAGAACATATTAAGACCCATTTCTGGTATTTTATTGTCTTAAAATATTAATGCATTTCAATTTTTCAACAAATTAAATGGGGGAGGGCACCAACTGAAAGTACAACCTTATTGTGTAGCAGGAGGAATATAAAATGCTAAAAAAAATCATTTTATTAATTGGATTTAACTTACCCTTTCTGTCACAGAAAACTGATGGGTGTCTGCTGAAATTTTGTATGTATGCAGTTTTGTTGGCACAACTGTAATAAAATATTGGAACATCTGGTTGTCTAGAATAAAAACAAATTGTGTTTTCCATCAATCCAATAGCAACAAAACTACTGCCAAACATATCCTCCTTCTATTAAATACACTAATAGAAATGTAATGCTTGTGACTAAACATCTAACAAAAAGTAATTTTAAAAGACTAAATGAAATCAATATAATACTTGATAAAATAATTTCTCAGTAAGCATATTTCAAATAGTCACATACATATCCTATATAAGATATTTAAAAGGATGAACTAGTCACTTAGATATCTTTGTAATCATTACCATCCTTATATCAAATATGGAAAATAAAAGTAGCATTCCTTTACAGTACAAAAACTAGTAAGAGAAAAGTTACAATACTCTAACCATCACAGGACATATTTTCAGTTTTTACTAATATCTTAAAATATGTAAGTAAACCAACACTGAATTAGCCACCCTTTGGTTAAATGTAAGGAAATTGATACCACAGCAGAAACTAACTAAAGGAACTATTCAATGATGGCTTGGGTTATTGTGTAATCAAAAGGATCATATTTATAGTCACTAGAGGCTCAGTGCACGAATTTGTGCATGGGTGGGGTCCCTTGGCCTGGCTGGTGATTGGGCTGTGGGAGGTGGGCAGCCAGGGGGAGGGGCCCTGGGAGGTTGGCTGTGGGAGCACAATGACCACCAGGGGGCAGCTCCTGTGTTAAGCGTCTGTGCCCTGGTGGTCAGTGTGCATCATAGTGACCAGTCGTTCGGTTGTTCAGGCTTTTATATATAAAAATTAGGCATGTCTAGGTTTAGAACAAGTCATAAATACTATTATTATTACTAATTTTTGATTCTAAACCATTAACAGTTTACATAGTACAAAACATTAATTCTCTAGGTCTATCCTATATAATAAAAGCGTAATATGCTAATTAGACCAGACAGCCGAACGACCTTCCGGACAAAGCCAGGGCTACGAGGGAAGCCCAGGTCCCGGGTCCCGGGTCCCGGGTCCCTGCCAGCAGCCAGAGAGAAGCCAGCCCGGATACTGGGTGCCTGCTGGAGGGAAGCTCGGGTCCCAGGTGCCAGAGGGAAGCTGGTGCCAGCAGCCAAGGGAAGGAAGGCCTACTCTTGCACGAGTTTCGTGCATCAAGCCTCTAGTATTTTATGAAATTCATGGATTAGTTTTGCCTATTCTAGAATTTCATATAAATGGAAGTAAACAGTATATACTTTTGTGTGTCTAGTTGTTTTCTTTGCTTAGCATAAATGAATTTTTATTTCTACCAATCCAATGTCTGTCTCCTATCTCAGTCTAATTCTGAATAGGAGAGGGAAGGGTTTTGAATAGGGGAAGGAAGGGTGAAACTGTAGATATGAGGCAGAGAGGTATGTATAATGGTTTCTTCACACAATAGCATTAAACAAGTTTCTAACATAATAAATCAAAGCTTGTTTCAATATCATCACTTATTTCTCTTACTACTTGTACCACACTAACTTTAAAAAATAAAGTTTTTTTTACCAGTTCTCCCATTATTAATTTCAACTTAATATCCTAAATATTATCATAGACAATATTAGGGTGAAAGGGTGTCAACTTTGTCTACCACCAGTACATAGCATATCAATTGTGGGTGGTCTTCAGTTTCATCCCTTAGCTTGTTCTTTGATGTAAGGTGAGTTGCTCATTCTGTGCTTAGATTTAGGTGTTTTACAAATAAACTCTATCACAGTGATGGCGAACCTTTTGAGCTCGGCATGTCAGCATTTTGAAAAACCCTAACTTAACTCTGGTGCTGTGTCACATATAGAAATTTTTTGATATTTGCAGCCATAGTAAAACAAAGATTTATATTTTTGATATTTATTTTATATATTTAAATGCCATTTAACAAAGAAAAATCAACCAAAAAAATGAGTTCATAGGTTCGCCATCACTGCTCTATCATGTCATAGAGAGAGCAAGCTGAAAGTGATAGAAAAGGTGTTTAGGCTTTAAGTATTTATGACAAAAGTTGAAACTGAGAGTGGTGAGGCAATAACCAATTATCTCACTCATGTATAGGTGAGATAATTAGACTTGTGGGTAAAAATGAAGGACAAAAGGAATCTCTCCACAAGCTGGAGTGAAGTTTCAATGCAATAAATAACAAATCATGGACAAAGAAATATGACAGGAAAAACTAGAATCCTTTTAACCTGTGGCCAGACAACTACTGAAGATCTATTTGTCTAATGTTAATTCAAGAAAGGGCTACATGTTTGTTAAATAACTTAATTGCCAGTCTGGGGGGTGGGAGGCAGGTGGGATGCAGTTGAATAAAATGTTGCTGCAAGCTACAAATTGTTCCAAAGGTTTTAGATATGTTCAAATCTGCATAGTTTTAAAGGTGTATCTGTTAAGTAATCCCCTCAAAATTTCTGGAGAACATTAAGGAGAAGATGGTTACCTGAACACAGTAGATTTCTAATGCTAACCTTTTATCCTTTTTGAAAAGAGGCCCAAGAGAAAGTATGTTAGGAGGAGAGGAGTATATCTGCTTTAAAGCTTTGAATAACTTACTGACATTCATCTAGTGGCATTTTATAACGTAACTCTAAATACCTACTAGTCTTTTGAATTTTGGAACAAGTAGACTTTTAAAAAGCCTTTTGAAAATTAATATTTATATTCAGAACCACTTTTGTACAGAAATGCTGGGGTCCAACCCCAGCAGGTCCAGGGGTCCCCAAAGGTGTGGATGGGGTCGGCAAAGAAGGAATGACACGGAGACAGCGTTCAGTTGATCAGCAGCCTAGCCAGGATCTCTAGCCAGGATCTCCAGCGAAGTTCTGGTCTGGATCTCCAGCGAAGTTCTGGTTAGGATCTCCAGCCAGGTTCTGTGTCCATGTTCTCTTGCTAGGTTCTCCAGGTTCTAGTCAGGTTCTCTTGCCAATTTCTGTAGTCAGGTTCAGTCCAGGATCTTTTGCCATGTTCTCTCCAGCGAAGTTCTTCTGTCTCTAGAGAACGTTCTGTGTAGGTTCTGTGCCTCCTGGTTCTGTCTTCTTCTAAGTTCTGTCTTGTTACATCTGTATTTATACCAGTTGATTCCAATCCTATCAATCTCTATTCCAAAGGTTAGGGCGTTTCTTATCTCCATTCCAGGGAGTAAAGATTATGTAGCTTAAGCATGATTGTTCATAGTTAAAGTGATTAATTACCTGCCTGGCACTTAGTTAAGAGGTTTTATTCCCTCCCTAACTTCAGGGGAAAATCCCTACCTGGGGAAACAACCTTTCTCAGAGACCTTGGTTAAAACACATAGTGCCAAGAAGGTGAGCAAACATATTAAGAACAGTATGCCATATATGCCAGGTCCCTTGAAACAGCAGGGATGGACCGGCTCCCGGCACAGAAATTAATAGTTCATTTTAGCATCATGAAACATAGTATTAGCCAGCTTGTTTTCAAATGAACATTTCTAAAGTAATATTTAATGCATTTTGGTATACAATGAACATATACTTAGATTAAAAATTAGATTATAAGAGTTTATAATTTCTACTCAGACATTTCTAAATTCAGTACACTCAAGTGTCCTTAATTGAAAACATTCTCATACAAACACAAAATACTCTGAAGGTAAGTCAGTATTTTAAGTAAAACATCTTTAATGTATCTGACTATAACACTGTACTAGAGGCCCAGTGCATGAAATTTGTGCACGGGGGGGGGGGGGTGTCCCCTCAGCCCAGACTGCATCCTCTCCAATCCGGGACATTCCTCTCACAATCTGGGACCGTTGGCTCCTAACTGCTCACCTGACTGCCTGCCTGATTGCCCTAACTACGCCCCCACCCCCAGCCGCTGGCCTGGTCGCCCCTTACTTCCCCCCGATGCTGGCCTGGTTGCCCCTCACTGCCCCCCATGCCGGCCTAGTCGCCCCCAACTGCCCCTCTGCTGGCCTGGTCGCCCCCAACTGCCTCCCCGCTGGCCTGGTCACCCCCAACTGCCCCCTTGCTTATCTGGTTGCCCCCAATTTCCCCCCCTGCCGGCCTGTTCACCCCATGCAGCCTGCTGTTCAGTCGATTGGTCGTCCCTCACTAATCTCCTGCTGGACTGGTTGCCCCATGCGGCCTGCTGTTCAGTCGTTTGGTCACCCCTCACTAACACCCCTGCCAGCCTTGTCGCCCCATGCAACTTGCTGTTCGGTCGTCTGTCCAGTTGTTTTGGTCATGACGGACCCTGGCTTTTTATATATTAGGATACTAAAAGAATAAGATATTGAAAACAATATTAATAAAGCTCTTTTAATTAAAAAATGAAATCCTTAATTTCAGTTTTGTAAAGATTTGAATCCCCACTAGTATAGGAAGCTTTAGATGTCCTTAAAAGGTCCTAAAAGTGGGACATGTCATACAATATGACTATTTAAGAAGAGGAAAAGGAACCAAAACCATCAGGAAGCTCAAGAGATTACTTGCTACAAAAGTTAAAAACGTAATAATAACCCACCCATATCTAAATAAACTTAAATTTTAAGTGGATTAGAAGGTTAAAACAGAAACAAAAGGTATCTGTTATAATGTACAACAAGCATGTCAAACTTGCGGCCCACATGCGGCCCAGCCTATATAATGGTATGTAAGAAATGTTTTAATAAAAATTTCGTAACTTAATTTTTACAAGATCCTGTTATACTATTAATAATGAACTATGTTTGCTAATAATTACTATAAACATGTTGCATTCATTTCCCTTACGCGCCTTACGTGCAGGCACACCATTTCTCTCCACTAAAACTAGCAGCAAATATTTTAGCAGCCGATTGCCACGTCATTAGTCTTGGACTAACTTGTTTGGTATGCGCAACAGGAAATATTTCGCTTTCAGAGAGCAAGAAAAATAGGCTTATTTGCATTACACTTATTAATTTGTGCAGTTATTCAGTGTCTGGTAAATTAATGTTCAAGAAAAAATATTTTTATTAAAACAGTCTATTATTTTATGTTAACGATTATTCATTCATTTCAGCCCTTTGTATTCAGCATGTCTCTATTGAAATAAACCTACGTTTCTATGAAAATTGAAGCATTTGTTTTTCTGCGAGCCACATAAACTTAAATCTTGTTTATTTGGCTCATATTAGCTTTTCAATTTGACATGCTTGATGTGCAACTTCTATCTGTGTTGATAACCAAACCATTCTAGAATAACTGTAGGTTTCTGATGCCTGCAAAATTCTGCAGAGAGGTTTCCATAGTGGTAAATATGCATTTTAGAACTATGAACCTATACCAAAAAGAAAATTTTTCTTAGAATGTTGAAACTTCCTTCTGTTCTCATTCTTTTTTTAGTGACTATAGGAAAGCAGTTATGCCCTATTAACACATTAATCTTTCATACATTTAGAGAGTTTTTAAGTACTACTCCTCCAGCCTAAATTAAATTCTAATTTTTTACTCTGCTCTATGGTTCATTTTTTTAACATTTTAAATATTATCCACTGGTAGGACAAAGTCTTTCCACACACATCTCCACTTAAAGTTTATTAACCACTTAAACTACTTAAAGATTTATATGCTTATCTGTTACAAGGGGGTTAAGAGGATTATTAAAAATGTATTAATATTAAAGATATAAAAAAATTGCCTACATGCAAATTCCAACAATAAGTATTAAGTACTTACAATCTATAGCAATTTTTTCCGTTCCATCTAAAGGATTAATAATTCCTGGAACAAGCTCTCCAAAAGACAAATGATCTATTCTGTGAGAAAAGTTGTATGCTAAGGCAAAAAATAAAACCAATTAAATGGAGAATTATTATTATTCAAAACACATATTACAGGTGGCTTCACATTTTTATCTACTTTCAGATGAAAACATCTAAAATCTGCAGGTGTAATAAAATAGTATTTAAAACCATATTAACTTTGAGAAAAACGCATATACATATCTGGGAATTAAATGCATAAAGGTAAGTAAATTCTGATAAAATGCTGTATCTCAAATTTCATGATTATATATAAATCAATGTCTGAGAAATAATATTACATCTAAGCCTGATAACCCCCAAAATAAGTCTTTCCTGGTCCAATCACCACCTAGTAATAGGATTATGTTGTTGAAACCACTAGGATGATGTCCATGAATCCAAATAATTAACTGGTCAGGTATATTTTTAATACCCTGCTATATAGGACCAAACAGATTTTATGGACTTTATTACTTTTGTTCTCTAAAGCAGACTTTAAAAACTAAGTTTTATGACAATCATTACAAGGAACTAACTTGAATACTATATATGTCCATATTTAGATATTAAAATAAACTTGAAATATGTTTCCTTCATTATCTATAGAAATTAGCAGAAATGTGCACAAAGTAATATAAAGCACACTAGGCTGTCCTCCCTAACCTGAGCCATGACTAAACAGAAGACAGGCGCTTAAGGACAGGAGAATATGGATTAGAGTCGGTAAATTTAATCATTTATTTTCTCCTATAAATATGTTTTCAAAACAGTCCACTTTCAAAGCCCTATCTTGCACCCGTACTAAACTAAACAAATAAAACACTTTTCTTTCAAGGACCTCTTCATGGAAAAGTATTTCAGAAATTGCTTACAGTCATGGTTGACTAGTGCTGCCAAATGTGCATGACCTCGGGGATGTGGAATTGCCCTGAAAGAAGGAAAAAAGATTAAAGAAACTAAAATAATTAGTTAAATACATAACTAAATTAAAATCTGAAGAGGGATCTTATCTTTTCTAAGTTATATAATTTTCTTAACATTGGCCTGTGATTTGTTAGTCTACTCATCTAAACAATTTAATAAACTGAGGGTTGGCAAACTTTTTCTGTAAAGATTCAGATAGTAAATATTTTAAGCTTTGTGAACCAAGATACAAAATTGAAGATATTATATAATTAGGTACATAAATAAACTTTCAACTTCAAATGAGCATGGCTAACATTTTACAGTAAAACTTTATTTTTGGATACTCAAATTTGAATTTTATATGTTTTTCATGTGCTATGATATATTACCATGTAAATTTCCATGAAGAAAAGGTTATTGAAAATCAGAGGGCACTGGGGGGAGGCATTTTCAGTTGTCACAGTCATTGGGGAGAAGCTCTATTGGCATTTAGTGGACAGAGGCCAAGGAAGCAAGGCATCCTGCAAGGCAATGACAGTCTCACACAAAATAAAATTGTCCCACATCATACAAAACTGTCCCACATCTTGCATGACACTCTAAAAGGCATTTACATAGGTGAAAAACCTATGTATAATGACCTGAGTCTAGAACTTAACTCCATTTATCTAAAAAAAGTACTTTGTTGTAATTTCAATATACACTAAATTTCCCAGGAAACAGATGTAATGTTATTTTTGTTTTGTTCATAGTATTACAAAAGCTGTTCACTATTTCAGAGTATCAGTTCAACAATAGAAATACCATTCATGATGCCCTAACTGGTTTGGCTCAGTGGATGGAGCATCGGCCTGCGGACTGAAGGGTCCCAGGTTCGATTCTGGCCAAGGGCATGTACCTTGGTTGCGGGCACATCCCCAGTAGGGGGTGTGCAGGAGGCAGCTGATCAATGTTTCTCTCTCATTGATGTTTCTAACTCTCTATCCCTCTCCCTTCCTCTCTGTAAAAAAATCAATAAAATATATTTTAAAAAAAAAGAAATACCATTCATGATATTTGAGTGGCCAACACATCTGTTTGCATTTGCAGCTGTTGTAATGAGACATATAAGTGGCAAACATCTGCCTACTTCACTGCCTTATCTAATGTAGTCATGCTCAACAATCTGCATATTGAAATAGTTCTCCTTAATAATACAGTTGAAAATGATTCTGTGCCTGTGAGGTAATGTGAGCTTTAAAAAAAAAAAAATCAATATTGATTTTGACAAACCTATTATCAAAATATTAGGAGTGGTTTATAGGATACTTCAGAGATGATAAGGATAAGATGCAAACCAGATGCTTTTCAATTTGGCCTCTCTTATTGCTGGAATAAGTTTTCACATGAAGAGATAGGTGAAACTAGGAACGAAGACTGTAATTATGGATGCTCACACAGTATTTGTTAACAGAGTTTTGCCCTTTCATAGTTAGCTCTGGAGTAGGATACTGTTTGTTAGGTTTGAAGTAGGATATTGTTTGTTTCCAAAAATATAATAAAACCTTCTATATTTCTCTGAGCCAACTAGTATTTGCCTGTATGACACCAAGAAATTCTAAGATTCCCAGCTATAGGTTGGGAATGAAGAGAATGAGTGGTGACAACAGTAATAAAACAACAACAAAAATAGCCTGGCCCGTGTGGCTCAGTAGTTGAGTGTCAACTTGTGAACCAGGAGGTCACAGTTCAATTGCAGGTCAGGGCACATGCCTGGGTTGCCCTCGGTCCCCAGCAGGGGGCGTGCAGGAGGCAGCTAATCAATGATTCTCTTTCACCATAGATATTTCTATCTCTCTTCTCCCTTACTCTATGAAATCAATACATATTTAAAAAAAGAATGTTAAAAAGAATTGGACAACAAAGACAAAGAAATGTTTGATCTGATCACTATAAATACTGAAATAATTTTGCATAAAATTCTCATGCTATCTCTCAATATATATACAATCTTCAGCTACTCTCTTTCCTGCTTTGTAACCTTTCCCTGAGCATAGATGCCTTTCTCTCCTTTATATATAAAACTGCTAATCACCCACTAGTTTGAACAGTTATGGTTATCCTCAAAAAAGCCTCTGCTGACAAGCAAAGTAAGTCAGGTACCTTGTTATATAGTTTCTTTTCAATCATACTTCTCCTTTTTAGGTTCAATGCAACTATAATTATATAGTTATTAGTTCAATTAACTGTTTAAAGTTTGGATTCTCTCAGTCAGTACCAAAAGGATAAAAACTCCCTTTTTTCACTGTTTCATTCTTAGTATTTAGCATGTTACTTTGCATATAACTTAGCATGTTACTTTGCATATAACAAGTACTCAAAAAATGTCTTTTACAATGAAGAATTGTTCAGTTCTGCAACTCAAGATGAAGAGAGGAAGGGAGAGAGGATCAGAGAATCCATTCAGAAATTTACCAACTATTCATTGCATAACAGTTTCTGTGCAGGGTGCTGCTTATGAAGGCTGATGAGCTAATATTTTTCCTTAACTGTTATCTAATTTAACTTTTCCCCAGACACTACTAATTTCTAACTATATCAAAATACCTGTCTCGAATTAGTTAGGATTTATATTTTGGTGATAATCACCAAACAGAAAAACAACACCACCATCCAACAAAATGAGCAAATTAATGAAATGTCTACGTAAGAACTTCCAGGCTACTAAAACTTGGTAAGTAGGTTTTAATTCATATTGTACCTACAGCTCATTTACTTTAACATATAAAATATGACATGACTGTTTAACTTTATTTTGAAGTAGTATTAAAATTAGTAGTCTTCTCTATCCTGAAATTAAAGCCCGGACAAATCTCAAGTCATCAAATACAGATACAAAATATTTTAAGCTGTCTTTTAGTAGTTAATCATATATTGTTATTTTAGCAAAGAATTTATTTTTAACAAACTGACAATTTGTCTAAAGTATTTTCAGTAGGTGAAAAGAACATACTTGCCCACAGTTATGTGAAAATTCCCCGCTACTTTATTGACATATAGATGACCATGAATTCTGCAAGCATCGGGAGGCTGTGATAAATCATCTTCCCTATTATAACAAGACATGCTAGGATTACTTACAGCACATACAATATTATCACCAATACTGATCTGTAAGGATCAATTTTCAGGTAATGTTCCAAATGTCAAAAGTGGAAAAGCAGTTTTTTGAAGTCTGTACATTTATAAAAAAGCATATAGCTATGAAATAGAAAAAAATTACATTATTATTTACATATTACACTTACACAAATCTAAAATTCCATGGTTCTTCAAATCTAACCAAAGGAGTAAGTCCCATGATAGAAGAAAGATTAAAAGTAAAGAATCAGCCCAACAAAGACATACTTTCATCATCTATTTTTGTTACTTAAGAGCAGGGGTTCTCAAACTTTTTAAACAGGGGGCCAGTTCACTGTCCCTCAGACCGTTGGAGGGCCGGACTATAGTTTTAAAAAATACTATGAACTGCCGAAACCGGTTTGGCTCAGTGGATAGAGCGTCGGCCTGTAGACTGAAGGGTCCCAGGTTCGATTCCAGTCGAGGGCATGTACCTGGGTTGCGGGCACATCCCCAGTAGGAGATATGCAGGAGGCAGCTGATCGATGTTTCTCTCTCATCGATGTTTCTAACTCTCTATCTCTCTCCCTTCCTCTCTGTAAAAAAATCAATAAAATATATTTTAAAAAAAAATACTATGAACAAATTCCTATGCACACTGCACATATCTTATTTTGAAGTAAAAAAACAAAACAGGAACAAATACAATATTTGTATTTGCATGTGGCCCGCGGGCTGTAGTTTGAGGACCCCTGCTTAAGATGATAGGGGAGGATGGGACTATAAATGAGGTAAGAGAAAGGCATGCCATCTAAGTTCAAATAGACAATGACATTTTCTTTCTAAGCAAATGTAAAACCTCTTCAATACTTTTAGATTTAAATGATCATTTCATGATTATAACATTTTCAACTATCAGTTATTCTAATCTAAAAAAAAGTAAGTAAAATAACACAAAATTCCTAATCAAAATTCATACATCCTCATAATAGGAAATAAAATTAATTTGTTCTTAAAACATAACAATTTTATATAGAGGTATACCATACACACATAAAAGAGAAAAATTAAATAAACTAAAATACAGTGAACACTTAAAAACGCAAGTGTTAGGATTACTGAAATTCACATATAACTTTTGATTCCACCAAAACTTAATACAGTTGTCCCTTAGTATCTGTAGGGCATTGGTTCTAGGACTCGAGGGTACCAAAATTCGGGAATGCTCAAATCCCGTGTATAAAATGGCAAAGCATACAGTTGGCCCTCCACACCTGTGGGGTCCCAACCACGGATGGAAAACAGTACAGGTAAGTTATTGAAATAAATATGTATGTAAGTGGACCTGAGCAGTTCAAACCAATGTAGTTCAAGGATCAACTATATTTGTGATAATCCTGATCAGTATCACAGACTATAACTTTAAGAGTAAAAGGACACCTTAATCATACAGAATGATTACATTTTCTCTGAGAAATATGAGATCCAGAGAACTAAATCAATACTAAAATGATGTCAAAGTAAGTACATTAATAAATAGTTGCACATTTAAAATATACACCTCACCTTAGTGGGAGTGCTGTTGAACTATTAAAAACATCAACAAAATGAAGACAACCCACTGAATGGAAGAACATATTCACCAATACATCTGATAAGGGCGTAATATCCAAAATTTATAAGGAACTTATAAAACTCAACAACAACAACAAAAACACAATCCAATTGAGAAATGGGCAAAGAACCTGAATAGACACTTCTCCAAAGAGGACAGACATACAGATGACCAATAGACATATGAAAGGATGCTCAATGTCACTAATCATCAGGGAGATGCAAATTAACTACAATGAGGTACCACCTCACACCTGTCAGAATGGCTATCATCAATAAATCAACTAACGAGTGTTGGTGAGGATGTAGAGAAAAGGAAACCCTAGTGTACTGTTGGTGGGAATGCAAATTGGTGCAGGTACTGTGGAAAACAGAAAGGAGTTACCTCAAAAAATTAAAAATGGAACTGCCTTATGACCTAGCAATTCCACTTCTGGGAATATATCTGAAAAAACCCCAAAACATTAATTCAAAAGAATATATGCACCCCTACATAATGCAGCATTATTTACAATAGCAAACATTTGGAAGCAGCCCAAATGCCCATCAGTAGATGAGTAGATAAAAAAGCTGTGTTACATCTACCCAATTACTCAGCGGTAAAAAAAAAAAAAAAAAAAAAAAAAAGAAATCTGACCTTTTGTAACATCATAGGGTGGACCTGGAGAGTATACAACTCACCTTGATGGAAGGGGAATTGGACTTTTAATAGCACTTTTAAATAGCACATCTTGAAGTGAATGTTCTTCTTGTAGTCTACTCTGAATCAGCTGCAGCATCCTAAATATAACACAAACAATAGCTTATAAATACAGTAAGGTACACAAAGGAAGCCAACCCTTTTTAAATAATCATAATAATTAGATGACTTAGCTAAGCCATACATTTATTATTATAAGACTTTATTCTAATATAAAGTACCAAGTTTTCTTTGATCATTTTCCTTGAAAGCAGGAAGAGTGAGGTAGGGTGGCTATAGGTCTTATAACTGGGCTCCACAATAAAACTGTCTGATTTCATCAATAATGGACATGCAGTCTCAGTCACCAATAAGTAGCTTTTGCTCATCTGAATATCTCAATTCATGCATGCATGCAATTATAAAATTCTTACTTTTTGTCAGACATTAAATAAATTGTTATAAATACAAAAGAAATTAGACAAATAAGAGGCCACACAATAGATCTGATATACTTAAAGTGGGAGTATAAAGCCAGAACACAAGTATCAATTTCTCATTTCAACCCAGGCCACTGTGCCCTTTAATATCAACTGGTATCTCCTTTTCTGAAGAAACCTGAACTTTATTCTATTCCAAGACCATTCAAAGGAAAGTATTATATGCTACCTGTAACTTTTACAAAGAATATCAACATATAAGGCAGTGGATTATAAAAAACAAAGTTACATTCGAGAACCCATGAGCAGATTTTCTTTTTAAATATATCTAGCCACCAAGAATAAATTGGTGGCTTAAAGATTTTTTGAACAAAATTTGTATGTTCACACTAACTTATGAAAATATTCCAAACAACAAAACCAAAAATAAAAGTTTTCCTCTAATATTTCTACCTTTGGGCCATATTATCTCCTACCATTTTCAGCAATAACTTTGTATCTTCAAAGTTATTTTAAGTTCTTTAATTTTCACTGAGCACTGTTTCAATATTAGAATCTTGCAAGCAACCTATCCATCAATAATGATCTGATTAGGTATAGTTTATTTATAAAACAGACTACTATATGTACTTAAATAGGAAGTTGTACCAAATACCACTGATGAAAAAAAGCAAGTTAATGAACAGACATGAAATGATCCCATATGAATAACATACATATGTAAACATATAGAACATTATATATGAATAGAAAATTTCTAGAAGGCTACACAAGAAGTCTGGTTATTACTGCTAGTCATTACTACTAGGTTTATGGAATGCTGAGGAGGCTTTTACTTTTACTTTATATCTTTTCTGTCCTAAGTGAATGTTAAACAATGATCAAATACCGCTTTTAAAAATTTTTAAATAGTTAATAAAATTTTAAATGAAACCTACAGTATATTATGATCCAAAGTACATTAGAAAGAGGATTAACATGACTTTCTTAAGATCTGGTAAAATTTTTGAAAGTGTAAAGTTTACATTATATACTATATTCTGCTAATATTTCATCCAGAGAAATGCCTAGACAAATATGCCAATCTATGAAGTCACAATAAACAAAATAGACAAAATGGGATCTAGATTTCTTTGGACCACAATTCTTTGTTTACTTATTACCTCTGCCACTCTTTTTGCTGTGGAGAAAGATCAAACATTACCTAAAATAAAGAAAAACATAATCACCAACATTGTCAATTTCTCTTGGCTTTTATATAATAACTAGAGGCCCAGTGCACAAAAATTTGTGCACTCGGGGGGAAGGGGGGTCCCTCAGCCCGGCCTGTGCCCTCTCGCAGTCTGGGACCCCTCGGGAGATAACGACCTGCTGGCTTAGGCCTGCTCCCGGGTGGCAGAGGGCAGGCCCAATCCCTAGGTGCAGTCCCTGGAGGGCTCAGAGCAGGGCCGATTGGGGAGTTGGGGCGCCGCCCCTGTCATGCACAGAGCAGGGCGATCGGGAGGTTGTGATGCCACCCTCGGTCACGCTCAGGGTAGGGCCGATTGGGGGATGGGGCACAACCCCGTCACACTCAAGGCAGGGTCGATGGGGAGGTTGCGGCGCCACCCCCTGTCACGCACAGAGCAGGACGAATCAGGGGGTTGGGGCACTGCCCCCAGTCACTCACAGAGCAGGGCCCATCAGGGGGTTGGGGTGCCGCCACTGTCACACTCAGGGCAGGGGCGATGGGGAGGTTATGGCTCTACCCCGTCACACACAGAGCAGGGCCTTGGGGGGCGGGGGGGGGGTGGTTGGGGCACCGCACCCTGTCACACACAGAGCAGGGCTGATCAGGGGGTTGGGGTGCCGCACTCTGTCACACACAGAGCCGCAGGGCGATCAGGGGGTTGGGGAGCTCCCCCCATCAGGCACAGAGCAGGGCTGATCAGGGGGTTGGGGCTCCTTCCCCTGTAACAAACAGAGCAGGGTGGATAGGGAGGTTGTGGCTCCACCCTCTGTCACACACAGAGCCGCAGGGCGATCAGGGGGTTTGGGCGCTGCCCCCTGTCACGCTGATCCCGGTGCTGGGAGGCCTCACGGCTCTGCTGATCCGGTGCTGGGAGGCATATTACCCTTTTACTATATAGGGTAGAGGCCTGGTGCACGGGTGGGGGCCCCACTGCTGTGCCTGGCCAGCCTGGGTGAGGGGATGATGGCTGTTTGCAGCTGGTCACACACCCTTCAGGGTGGTGGTCCCCACTGGGATGCCTCTCCAGTCTGGGTGAGGGGCTGAGGGCTGTTTTCAGGCTGGGGGTGACTGAAGCTCCCAACCGCTCCTTTTTTTCTTTTTTTTTTTTTATTCTGGGCCAGCTTTAGCTTTGAGGCTTGGCTCCCGCTCTTAGGCCTCCACTCCTGAAAGTAGGTTTCTGGCCTTTGCTTACAATGTTGCGATCCTGCTGGCTGAAGCCCTGCGGACCTGGGGTTTTGTTTAGCTTCTATATTTGTTACATAGTTGCTTAGAGTTGCAGCTCAGAGGCCTGCAGCGGCAGGCAGGGAACGTTGGAGTCCTCCATCACTGAAGCAAGCAAGCCTCATGTTAGTTTCAAGCTGCCTGGCTGCCGTCCGCCATCTTGGCTGGCAGTCAAATTGCATATTGCCCTGATTAGGCAATGGGAAGGGTAGCGGTCGTACGCCAATTACCATGTTTCTCTTTTATTAGATAGGATTAGAAGCCAGGTGCACAAAATTCGTACATTTGGGGGGAGGGGATTCCCCAGCCTGGCCTGTGCCCTCTCACAGCGCGGGAGCCCCGCTATCTATCTCCCCAAAGAGGTAGGCCCCGCCCACCCATCCAGGGCTCCTTGATGGATTGCCTCCTGGTGATGGATTGTTACGGTGTGAGGGTGTGAGGGCATCACCATGTGAGGGTGTGATGACCACATAGGCTTTTATTAGTACAGATTTTTTAAAATGTTCTTTGAACAGGAAACAAATTTATAGTGTTGTAAAGAAGTATTCATGTTTATACTGAATCTTCTATAAGTCAACCTAAAAAATTTAAATAATTTTCATTTAAAAATAGTGTAAAGAAATGTTATTAATCATTTAAATAATGCCAGTATAAAACTTTAAGTATTTAAAAAGGAAAAACATAAAAAAAATCATACAGCTTAAGTGTAATATTCAATCTTCCAAAGCCCATATTCTTGCTGGGATAATACCATGATGAAATCAACATTTTTTAAAATGAGCTAGAAAAGAGCACTCTAATTCTTAAATGTGTTAATCATTAAAGAATAATTCAAGAAATTTTATTCAGGCATTACCTTCATCAATTCAAAATCAGACTTGTCTATTTATATAGAGTAAAATATGCAAGTTTCTCATGGTTTGATACAATATCTACAATTTAATTTGCAACAAAAAGTCCACTTTTGATTTTAATAAAGCATATTAATTCTACTTTTTAATTTATTAACATTATTAGTTATCCCTCCATAATCAGGCCCTAATCTACTATTCTCTCTTTACAAATAGTTGCTTTTTAATACAAGTAGAACAATCCCTCATTCTATCAAACAGTTCTGCCTCTGTGCCTTTGGTTATTTAATTATACCAACCTGGAACATCCTTCTCCTGTAATTTTGACCCTTATTTCTTTCTAAACTCTATAAATCATGTACGTTAAGTTAAATTGTCCCATCTTTCTGATTTCAATAAATTTATTCTGATTTCTCCTCCTGCTGAACTTGTCTGCAGCATGATTCCCAACTCTTTTCACGTCATTGCACATAAGGATAATGCTAATATCTGAAAATCACCATGCAACTTCTCCCCAGTTACCTTGTGAATTAGAGTAGGGACAGAAAAAAATGGAGTGATCTGCAAAATCTTAAAGGTAGAAAATGTAATTACTAAATTTTAAAACATAATGAGGGCACTGAAAAGAAGATTGGTCCTTTTGGATCAAGATAATTTCCCAGAACTCAGACGCAAAGTTCAAAATATGTATTTAATGTGAGAATTAATAAAGATACTGAGAACCACTCCACAAAATTCAACATCATATGATCATTTGAAACAGAGGTAAAAGCATTGCTCTGAATATCATTAAAGCAAACAAGCAAAAACACTTAAAAATTAAGATCTCCAAGCAAAAGAAACAAAAACTATAGGAGATACACACTTGGATATAAAGGATAAATATTTGATTTCAAAAGTAAAAGGGAAAAAAAGCATAGAAACTCTAAGAAAAGAGAAAAGAAAACTATTAGAAAGCATTAACAAAAATATAAAATAAGAATTTACACTAATAAAAGAGAAACATGGTAATTGGCGTACGACCGCTACCCTTTTCATTGGCTAATCAGTGAGATATGCAAATTAACTGTCAGCCAAGATGGCGGCCAGCAGCCAGGCAGCTTGAAACTAACATGAGGCTTGCTTGCTTCAGTGACGGAGGACTCCAACGTTCCCCGCCTGCCACTGCAGGCCTCTGAGGCTGCAGTTTCAAACATTGTAACAAATACCGCAGGACTTCAGCCAGCAGATTCGCAACATTGTATGCAAAGGCCAGAAACCTACTTTCAGGAGCGGAGGCCTAAGAGCTGGAGCCAAGCCTCAAGCTAAAGCTGGCCCAGAATAAAAAAAAAAAAACAAGGAAAAAAGGAGCGTTTGGGAGTTCAGTCACCCCTAGCCTGAAAACAGCCCTCAGCCCCTCACCCAGACTGGAGAGGCATCCCAGTGGAGACCCCCATCCTGAAGGGTGTGTGACCAGCTGCAAACAGCCATCATCCCCTCACCCAGGCTGGCCAGGAACAGCAGTGGGGCCCCCACCCTGATCCAGGACACCCTTCAGGGCAAACGAGCTGGCACCCACCCATGCACCAGGCCTCTACCCTATATAGTAAAAGGGTAATATGCCTCCCAGCACCGGGATCAGCATAACAGGGGGCAGCGCCCAAACACCCTGATCGGCCCTGCTCTGTGTGTGACAGGGTGCGGCACCCCAACCCCCCACCTCCCCGGGCCCTGCTCTGTGTGTGACGGGGTAGAGCCATAACCTCCCCATCGGCCCTGCCCTGAGTGTGAGAGTGGCAGCACCCCAACCCCTTGATCGTCCCTGCTCTGTGGGTGATAGAGGGTGGCGCCCCAACCCTCCCCCGCCCCCCCACGGGCCCTGCTCTGTGTGTGACGGGGTAGAGCCATAACCTCCCCATCAGCCCTGCCCTGAGTGTGACAGTGGCGGCACCCCAACCCCCTGATCGGCCCTGCTCTGTGGGTGAGGGCGGTGCCCCAACCCCCCCCCCCCCCCGCCACGGGCCCTGCTCTGTGTGTGATGGGGTAGAGCCATAACCTCCCCATCAGCCCTGCCCTGAGTGTGACAGTGGCAGCGCCCCAATCCCCTGATTGGCCCTGCTCTGTGGGTGATAGAGGGTGGCGCCCCAACCCACTGATCCGCCCTGCTGTGTGTGTGACAGGGGACTGTGACCCAACTCCCCTATCGGACCTACTCTGTGAGTGACAGGGGGGAGCTCCTCAACCCCCTGATGGGCCCTGCTCTGTGCGTGACAGGAGGGAGCTCCCCAACCCCCTGATGGGCCCTGCTCTGTGCGTGACCGGGGGCAATGCCCCAACCCCCGGATTGGCCCTGCTCTGTGCGTGACAGGGGGTCGCGCTGCAACCTCCCCATCGACCCTGCCTTGAGTGTGACAGGGGGTGGTGCCCCAACCCCCCAATCGGCCCGCTCTGAGCCCGACCAGGGGCTGCACCTAGGGATTGGGCCTGCCCTCTGCCACCCGGGAGCAGGCCTAAGCCAGCAGGTCGTTATCTCCCGAGGGGTCCCAGACTGCTAGAGGGCACAGGCCGGGCTGAGGGACCCCCTCTTCCCCCCGAGTGCAGAAATTTTTGTGCACCGGGCCTCTAGTAAAGTTATAAAACAGACATTAAAGTTATAAAACAGAAATTATTAAAAATGCTAACAATGGTTATCTCAAAATTTTAGTATTAGATAAAACGTCCCCCCCCCAAATTTTTACAAAGAATATGGATTACTTTTTGCATTAATAAAACATATTTTAAAAACTAGCTGAAACAAAACCAAAAGAAAATATTAAAACCATTTTTAACTGGCAATTTCTAAAAGCATATTATTTTAAAAAACATATGAATCAAACTTACTGGTTCATAAACTAGACCATCTGCAGATGCAACCATTGTTTCTGCTAAATCCAATACATCTGCTCCAATATCTGCATTTAAAAAAAATTAAAAGTTTTACATTCTATGCTAAGAGTCAAACTGTATCTGATATAAAGTAAACAAATTAAGATGACTACCAGAAAACTCACTTTCCTATACTGCTTCTTTAAAAGTTAAAACAGTGCATTATATAGATTTGATAGAAATTAAAAAAATAATGCTTTTTCTACTAAAAAAAAGAAAATGACTCAGCATCTCATGGTAAAACATATAAATTTGCCCTAACCGGTTTGGCTCAGTGGACAGAGTGTCGGCCTGCGGACTGAAAGGTCCCAGATTCGATTCCAGCTAAGGGCAGATACCTTGGTTGCGGGCACATCCCCAGTAGGAGGTGTGCAGGAAGCAGCTGATCATTGTTTCTCTCTCATTGATGTTTCTAACTCTCTTTCCCTCTCCCTTCCTCTCTGTGAAAAATCAATAATAATAATTTTATATATATATATATATATATATATATATATATATATATATATATAAACATATAAACTTTATTGAAGAGCTTTGCAAAAATTGGCAACCTAATTACAAGTACTAAATGGCTGCTATACAAACTATTAATTACAAGGATTATTTTTAACAATTAAAAGAAATCTTAAGGCAAAGCTACTGATGACTTTTTAAATATCAATAGAAAGGTTATCTTGAAAAGGCTAAAATTCTAATGGTATTAAAATACCTAAAATAAGGTAAAATGATATATTCAGCATTAATACTAGCTCAAAATTTGGATACAAAGTTTTTCTCTTAAAACCACAATGTAAGGAAAAATAAATGGAAAAGGAAAAGAAATTTAAGGCTGTTCTGAGATAAAATCTCCCTAAAATTAATTTCCTTAATTGGGTAATACTATTTAACACTTTAAAAAATTTTATCTGAACTACTGAATTCTTGTCTCTACTTTTCAAGTGGTAATTTAAAAGTCGACTTTCATTCAAAAGCATCCTCATTTTTTAAGAGCACTACTGATTCAAACATTATCTAAAATACATATTAGCTTTTTTTTTTTTTTTTAACTTCTACCAGTATAATCAAGTAAAGTCTGAAGAAAACAGAAAAGAAATCACTATTAACTTAAAGTACTTGGATCTGTATTTTAATATGCAAGAGTAAAAGTAAAGGGTGGCAAGTTAAAAGAGTAAAACAGGCCCTAACCGGTTTGCAGTGGATAGAGCATTGACCTGTGGACTGAAAGGTCCCAGGTTCAATTCTGGTCAAGGGCATGTACCTTGGTTGTGGGCACATCCCCAATAGGAGGTGTGCAGGAGGCAGCTGATCGATGTTCCTCTCTCATCGATGTTTCTAACTCTCTATCCCTGTCCCTTCCTCTCTGTAAAAAATCAATAAAAATATATTTTTTAAAAAAAGAGTGAAACAGGATATTCTTGAGGAACATTGGTATAAAAACTGGTAGTCCACACAAAAAATAAATAAAGGATGTACCTAAACTAAAACTCTGATTCAGATAGATCTCTCTCTCCCACTCCCTTCCTTGTTCTGAACTTAATTAAAAACACACACACACACACACACACACACACACACACACACACACATATTTTAAAACTTGGATTCACAAAAATTTCCACCTATTTCTTTTAATTATATGAATGTGAAAGTTAAATCTCTTCTCTTTCTGGATAAGAAATTTAAAGAATATAATTTGGGGAGAAAAACAACACACATTATTAAATAGCACTGCAACAGCATGTTAAGATATCATAAAATAAAAATAAAGTTAAAACACAATGAGTGGTTTTCACTTTTTACTAGCAATTGTTTAAACACAACTATATAAGGATTCATCAAGTTCAAGGTATACTTACACTGACACTTCATGGCAACAGTAATATCTATATTGATTCTCAATTTGCTAAAAAACAAAAAGGAAACATTAGTACCTACCAAGTAATCAACAAAACATGAGAAATATAAATCAATTTCATGAAAAACTTGGATTTCAAAAATGTCGATTAGAACCTGGACAGTATTTTTTATGGCGAAAGCAAAGTTGCTTTAAAAGTTTCTATTTTGGCCGAAACCGGTTTGGCTCAGTGGATAGAGCGTCGGCCTGCGGACTGAAGGGTCCCAGGTTCGATTCCGGTCAAGGGCAGGTACCTGGGCTGCAGGCACATCCCGGGTGGGAGATGTGCAGGAGGCGGCTGATCGATGTTTCTCTCTCATCGATGTTTCTGACTCTCTGTCTCTCTCCCTTCCTCTCTGTAAAAAAAATCAATAAAATATATTAAAAAAATAAAAAAGTTTCTATTTTGCAATTATTCCAAAAGACTTTCTGATTTCACAGGTTTTTAATATAGTACCCTACAATTTAATTTTACTAAATTAAATAACTCCAAGAAACTCAGAAAAATAAGTTTTAAACTTTGTTTACATAAACCTTTATGTAGAATATTCCTTTAAAACTTTTAAAATCAAGAGTTAGGAATTGCAAGTCTTTCTCCTCTATTTATCCAATAAATACTATACATCAGGCATTATGCCTGAATCCTTATAAATATTATCTCCTTTATTCTTTATCATGGACATGTAAATTGGGTAGCTTCACAGTTCTGTAGGAAAGACAATGGTGTTCAGGGCAGTATAAATGCCTGGCTTAAAATTACATACCCACTGAAATGGCATATCAAAAACTAGGTCTGTGTGACTTGATAAATGCAACCAAATTGCCAGAGAAAGCCTCTCATGCTTCAAGTTTTGCATGAACCTTCCTAAAAGGTTCAACTAATGCTTTATTTCCAAATGATGAATTCAAATTGAATTAATTTTTAAATATTATAATCAATTAAGCACCATGAATAACAGAATGAGTACCATCAATATCAATTTTCCCTGGGCTATCAAAACTTTCTTCACTCTAATAATTTGCATCTGGTTTCAATAGAAATTTTTAGGGCTTCAAAAGATTTTTCAATACATTTTTAGAGCTTCAGAGTCTTCAAGTTGTCTAGATTCAAGCTGTGCTCCAGTAACCCTGGGGTTTAGGTACAAGAGATACTGTAGGAACCAGAGGACAGGACCAATTAGAAAAGCTTCTGGGCATACCCACTACACTTCTGTGGTGAGCTATATAAGACTCCACTTGGAAAAAATAAAGTGCTTCATTGGTGCTAAAAACAAACAAAGAAAAATAACAAATCCCTTAAAAACCTACGTTATCAAGAATAATACACAAGATATAGATAAAGAAACTGAGGCCCAAAAGAAGTCAATTGTGTGACTTACCCAAGGTTACACAGCAATTTATAAATGTTGATTTACTTCTCACTAGTGTCATGAGGAAGGTACTATAATTATTATCCCCATTTAATAGAAAAAGAAACTGAAGCACATGGATATACAGATTTAGTAACTTCCATAGCTAGTAAATACAGAGCTGGGATTGAAATTGAAAAGTAAATGTCTCTCCTACCTAGTACAATCTTAATAATATAAATCTGTTATCTTCAATCAATTAAAATCCAAATACTACAAATAAAATAAGGTATACTTTGTCTCCTTACTAAGGTGCTATATTTTCAAAGTTTTAAGTGATGTTATTTACATTAAAGTTTAATTTAGATGTAATTTATAAAAATCAAGTTACAAGCATAAATAACGTATATTTAAACAATATATTTCCCAAATTACACAGATCAGTATCTATTTCAAATTCTAAAGAGTAAACAATTTTAAAACATTAAATAATTGTTACCAGTTCAACACATTAAAATAAAAACATATTATATTCTCCTAATCTTTTTATACAGTGCATACTAAATGAGAGAACCTCCCTTTTACACTTTAACCAGTATTCAAATTATTCTAAAATGATTCTAAAGCATTAGTTATGAGAATTTATCAGAACTATTTCTTCAGAACTAAAATAAGCCAAATATAAAAGTTAGACATTTTTTAATAAGGTATGTTATCTTTAAAACAATTTGAATCTAAAGGTATTTCAAGAAAAAAAAAAGTTACCTAGAAAAATCCTTGTCTACTTCATATTCATACTTCATCCATGTATCCTGATATACTGAAAATTCCATTATGGTTAATAAAGCCATAGTGGTAAATGCTATTAGAGAAACTGAGAAATCAAACAAAAAAAAGAATAAGAGAATTAAAACAGTTTTGTAAAACAATTTTGTTTTAATTTATTACAAAATTTTAATAAATGTTTTAATAAAAATTTTAATTTTATTACAAAATAATAAACAATTTTATTTTAAGTGAAATTAAATATATCACAGAATGCCTTAATGCATGTCATGTGAATTATTACAATAAAAAGTTTTTCTTACAATGTCCAGGATAGATTTTTTTCTAAAACAGCTCAAAAAATATTTAACACAAAAATTAATTCAAATATTTGTATTATTGAGAAAGCGTTTTATTTCTTCAATATTACAAGACATCAAACTTTTACTTTCTTGTGTCATCCTAATTAATAAAAGCCAAATATGCTAAGTGTCCGACCATTCTTTCGACCATTTGACCAGTTGCTATGACGCGCACTGACACCCAGGGGGCAGATGCTCCAACTGGTAGGTTAGCTGGCTGCTGGGGTCTGGCCGATCAGGACTGGGCGAAATGGGCCAGACCCACCCTGGAGCCCTCCCACAGTACCTCCCCGGGCCCCATCATGCACCGGTGGGGTCCCTCGGCCTGACCTGTGCCCTCTCGCATTCTGGGATCCCTCAGGGGATGTCAGAGAGCCGGTTTTGGCCTGATCCCCACAGGCCAGGCCAAGGGACCCCACGGGTGCACGAATTTGTGCACCAGGCCTCTAGTCATAGACATAATAAACAAATATTTTAGAATACAAATTTGAAAATAATCCCCTCATAATTAAAAATGGATCCATGCCTGCAGCACAATTAAAAAAAATAACATATATCTCAAATCTCTCATAACACTCTCATGTACTTTGGAATCTCCTAAACAAACCACTTCATTTATAAAAGCAACTCAAAGGTGAGAAAAAGGAAAGAACTATCATATACTATGACAAAACATACTTAAAATTTATTGTGCCACAAGAACTTGCACTATTTTTTGTTAACAAATTTAATCACAAAAGATTAGAAATAGCAAGCAACTTAGTACACATTTACCAAATGAAATGTCAATCTTATGTGAAACATATTATCTTATTAGCTCTTCAAAGGAAAAGAAATAATAGTAAATACTGTTATAGTTCCATATTTTTCTTATATATTCCATTATTTATTTATTTTCCTTAACAAATACTTCTATCTGTACCAGGTACTATTCTAAGCATTTTATAAATATTAACTTATTTAATCATTACAGCAACCCTACTACGTAAATACTGATATCATCCCCATTTCATGGATGAAGAAACTAAAGCAGAGGCATTTGATTAACTTCCTCAAAGTCATTTAGTTAGGAAAGGGAACAAGTGGGATTTAAATCTATACAATCTGGTTCTAAAGTCTAAGCTCTTAACTATTACCCTATGCTGCCTCTCTCCAGTAAAGTGAAATTTAAGAATTTTTATTATCACATATAAATTGATTTATTCTTAACCAAAAAGGCACTGAGGCAGTTTCACATCATTAAATAACTTCTTTGAAGTTAAATTATGTTTGTATATAATCATCCTATTAATATTATTATACATAACTCACCAGCAATAAAGCAGTAAAATTGGATTAACTTATTCCATAATGTTTTAATGAATACTGCTAAATGCTCAGACTACACTGAGTTAGTTGCCAAAGAGAATATCTATAATAATAAAAGCGTAATATGCTAATTAGACAGGACAACTAAACGACCTTCCGGACATCCTTCAGGACGAAGCCGCAGTGGCGGGTGGATGCAGAGTGGTTAGGGGCGATCAGGCAGGCAGGCGGAGTGATTAGGGGCGATCAGGCAGGCAGGGGAGTGGTTAGGGGCAATCAGGCAGGCAGAGTGGTTATGGGTGATCAGGCAGGCAGGTCAGTGGTTAGGGGCTATCAGGCAGGCAGCAGAGTGGTTAGGGGCGATCAGGCAGGCTGGCCAGCAGTTAGGAGCCAGTGGTCCTGTATTGCGAGAGGGATGTCCGACTGCCGATTTAGGGATCCCTACAGGATTGGGCCTAAACTGGCATTCGGACATCCCCTGAGGGGTCCTGGACTGTGAGAGGGTGCAGGCCGGGCTGAGGGACCCATCCTCCACACCCCGTGCTCGAATTTCATGCACCGGGCCTCTAATATGTATAATAAAATTATAGCAAAACAGTATCACGTAAGGACAGACCAGTTACAAAGTTATTATATGTTGATGAGTTCTTCCTCATGACTCTATTTCTGTATGTTGTTAATTGGATCACTCAGAAATTGCATTTAGTGTAGGAGTTTTAATTTGAATTGATACTCACCTGTCCCCCCACTAGCTGAAGTCTCTACATAGCTCTCAGGAACCTTTGGAAAGGCATCCAACTCTTTCACCAAACTTAAGGTTTTTTTTCGATTCAGCCGCCTCATCTTCAGGAAAACCTTCTCCTTTCATATAGTCATGCTAAGGAATAAACAATGAATAAATGTATCCTTGAAAAAGATAAAAAGGTTTACTTTTTTTAAAAAACTGATAAATGTCCTTGGAAGAACTTAATATTTTCAAACCTCCTTGAGAAAAACTTAACATTTATTCACATCTTTCCTTTTTTCCATTCCCACCCTGACAAAAAATACTAATGAAAGGTAATTTCTACACACAAACACATAAAGTAGGGCAAAAAAAAAAAAAAAAAAAAGGATAGTGAAAAGTAGTCTGAAAAATAGTCAATCATATTTGTAATATTTAAATATACAAATCAAAATACATATTTCTATTAAATTTACAAATATAGGCTATCCCCAAAATATGTATACACACTTTAACAGCTGATAACTGACTTAATTTTCATTCCTTTTTAATTTTCATTCCTTTTCAAGTTCAACTGATTTGAAAAAAGGGATGAAGCCAGACTAGTCTTTGAACAAAGAAAATTTATCGTAAAGTGCCACTAGACTTTTTTGTTTATGGTGATACATAAAAGATAAAGTTTACGGCATAAAACTGGCAACAGTGGCCAAATTGAGGGCACACAAATAATGAAATAAATGATTCTAGATGTTTGTGATTCCATTGCTTCGAGTTATCAGCAGTGCCTGGACCAGAGCAATCATCAACTTGAAAACAGGCATTAATAAACAAAAAAAAATTCAATTTTGTGAATTCCTTTACATTTTGAAAATGAACTATATGTTAATAAACACTGGCTTTATAATCATTCCAAGTGAGTATACATTTTGGGGGGACAGCCTGTGTAGAAAAAATAATACATTCTCACTAGTAAATGACAATGAAGTAAAATAGGCATGCTCATACATTGCTAATGAGACTATAACTATATACCATTCCCCTTTTGACTAATTCCGTTTTTAGAAACTTATCTTAAGGCAACAATCTGAGTTATGCACAAAACTTGGGTCATAGGGATATTTCTCATATTGAAGATAGAAACAAACTCGTGGTATCCAATATACGTATACACCAAAATGTTAAAAGTAGATCATGGAGGATTTTAACTATTTCATTTACAAAATGTTGGACTTACCAAATTATCTATTTTTACAATAAAAATATTTGAAAATTGATTGCTATTCTTTTTATCAGTATGCCAACTACATACAGTATGTTACAAAGCCATAAAATAACTGAATTCTCAAATATTTATGTGATTTTTATGACTGACTTATAGAAATAATATAGGTGATACTATAAAGCACTACCAGAAATCAGAGCTATATTAATACAATAAACACTTAACTGAGAATAAATCAAATGGTTGCAGAAGCCATTAAAAGGAAAAGAATGTCTCTAGAAAAAAAAGCAGAAAGATTTGTCTAAAATCTAATGGGTGGGGTTAATATAGAAAGAATAAGCCATAGAAAGGGCATTCTTAGAGGAAAAGGAGAGTCAGAGAAATAAAAAGTGGCAGCAATCATGAATATTGTCCAAAAGAGAGCAGGCCTAACTAGGGACACTACTAATTGGTCCAGGAGGGCGCTACTGCTCTAGAGTGAAGCTGGATGCATGTACTAGCATAGGTTGATTTCACTTGCCATTAGAAACATCCAACTAACTCCCCTCGCAGATTCCATGCTCACAAAGTGGCCTTCGGGTTATAATTATGATTCTCATGTATATGGTTTTTCTAAGAAAAAAAGAACATGTAGACAAAATAGATGACATTTTCTAATTCCCAGGAAAGTCATAAAACTGGTATTTTCATTTGTAAATTAAGCTTCTGAGTGTTTGTTAGGCATTAAGCAGACTCCTGCTCCCTAAAATGGTTCAACTGAGAAAATAATCAAATTTATTTTCTGTACCTGCTTAGTAGTAACTGCACCAAGACCGATCTTCCTTCAATCTTTCAATTCCTATTCATTGTCTCCTACTGGAGTTACATATTAAATATGTTCAATCTTCTTATCTTTAAAACTCTCCACTAAAGCTCAAGTCCAAGTCCAACTACTGATCTCTGTCTGCATACCTATAGGCAAACTTAAAAGAGTAAGTTGTCACCCTAGCCGGTTTGGCTCAGTAGACAGAGTATTTGGCTCAGTGGATAGGGTATCCACCTGTGGGCGAAAGGGTCCAGGGTTCAATTACGGTCAAGGACATGTACCTTGGTTGCAGGCTCCTCCCTGGTTTGGCGCTAGTTGGGGCGGGTGCAGGATTGTGGCAACCAATCAATGTGTTTCTCTCACATGGATATTTCTCTCTGTCTTTCCCTCTCCCACTCTCTCTAAAAATCAATGGAAAAATATCCTGGGAGAGTATTAACAAAACAAGAGAGTAAATTGTCCCCATTCATCCACTGTGACTACTTCTCAGCACAGGTTCATTTAAGTAAATTTCTCAGCGAGGTCACTAACAACTTCCTTCGTACTAAATCCAGTGGACAGGTTCAGTCTTTACCTAATTTTGCCTATGAGAAGAAAATACACAGCCGTTCCTTTTTCTTCTAGAAACACTCTTCCCTTGGCATAAGTGATGGTATACTCCTGATTTTCATTCTACCTCTAAGACTTCTTTGGCTTACTTTGCAGATTCTTCTGCCTCACAATTCTACACTAGGCCTTCCTCCCAACCTCCACACTTTCCCCAAGTGATCTCCCATCCCTTCATTTTCCATCTACATGATTCCTCTCAAATCTTTAGTCCCAGTCCAAAGCTCTCTGCAGACATGTATTATCTTGTTGCCTCTATTACATTTTCATGGGGGCATTCCAAATACATTTCAGACTCAAGAAGTCCAAAAATGAAAACTTCACTTTACCAAACTTGTTTCTCCTGTGTCCCTACCATAATTAATGATGACACCATGTACCCAAAAACACAAGGCAATAACACAAGGTAGAAACATGAGTTACATCCTTAAACTTAAGTTCTTCCTAAATTTCTTTCAAATCTGTTTTCTCTTTTCCAGGCTCACTGAGAAGTTCCTTATTAGGACCTTGGTCCCAATGGCCACAATCTATCGCTGCATTGCTTCAAAAACGTTTACTCATCAATCTTTCTGTTCACTCTCCATACTACAACCAATAATCTTTTTAATCCATAAAAGTGAGTATATGCATTTTCTTTTAAAATCTTTGTAGAGGTTCATACCTATTACATTTGAAAAGTTTGGATTCTATCCTAACAAAGGTTAAAAAGCCCTCAAAAACCAGGTCCTGCCCAGCCAGTATGGCTCAGTAGTTGAGTATTGACCCATGCAACAGGAGGTCACCAGTTTAATTCCTGGTCAGGGAACATGCCCTGGTTGCAGGCTCGTCCCCACCAGGAGGCCTGCAGGAGGCAGCAGTTCCATCTGATGTTTCTCTCACTGATACTTAGATGTCTCTCCTCTCCCTTCCTCTTTCTAAAATCAATAAAAACATATTAAAACAAACAACAACAACAAAAACAGGTCCTGCTTATCCCTTCAAACCCAATCCATCAATGTCTAAATTCTAGCCAAACCAAATCACTTTCTAGTCCTTTAACATGTTCTTTCTGCCAGCCATAGCCTTTCTCCCTCTACCAAACCTCTATATTTGGCTAACTCCCACTTATCTTTAAGTCTCAGTCGAGACATCTCTCTTTTGAAGGGGAAAGAAACCTATGACCTCATACATAGTACTAGTTATAGTAAGTGCTCCAAGAGCACTGTTTCTAATTGCCTGTTTAATTTTCTGTTTTTGCCATTATAATATTACAGCAGGAATCATGTCAACCTATCTTTGTATCTCCAATACCTGGCACAGTAAGTGTTTGATAAACATTTGTAGAAGGGAAAAAATACGGAAGGTGGGAAATTTCCCCCGAAACACCCATGATTGTACAGCTTTCCAACAGAAACAAGTTATCATTTTTAGATAAATACACACACACACACACACACACACACACACACACACACATACAGTGGCCAGATTATTATGACCGGCCAGATTATTATGATCACCCCATCAGTACAATGAAGTGAATTAGTTATGCAAATAATAATAAAACCTTGAGAGTATTTGCTTAGGAAGTTTTCAATATTCAGTATTTTTGTAAGTGTCAATGAAGTACTGATGGGTTGGTCATAATAATCTGGCCACTCAGTGTATATGATCCACAAAGAGAAGGACTTTTCTGTTTTATTCACTACCATATATCACAAGTACCTAGAACAATGATTGGCACACAGCAGTTAGCATTATTGGGCAAATAAATAAAACTGTAAATATTAGTTCCTAAATTGTCTATACTTTTACAAGCTTTAAAGATGCTTTCTTTAAATTATATGTAATACAAAGATATGTAAAAGTTAGTTTTACAAAGCCTCTAACAATTCATATAGCCTATTCAGCTCTCCTCCCTTAAAAGTCTAGCTAGTCTATCCCACTTGGCTGCTTCTCAGTCTTTAGCTTCTTCCATTCCTATTTTCCATGATTACTATTCTAGAATGGAGTACCTTGTCACTCTACTGCTACTCCTGCCCCATTCCTGTTAACTCAGCACCAACCTACATCCAAGAAACTCACTGCATTTCCAGTACTTGTCACTATTCTACAGAGCCACTGTTCTTTTCTTTTTTTTTTTTTTTCAATTGATTTCAGAAAGGAAGGAGGAGAGAGAGAGACATCAATGATGAGAGAGAATCATCCATTGTCTCCTGCACACCCCTACTGGGAATAGACCCTGCAAAAACCGTGAGTTGACACTCAACCACAGAACCACACTGGCAGGGCACCACTCTTCTGATATGAACAAGTTATCCGTAACTCCTAATTTTACTAAAAATAATCCTTCTACCATCTCTCAATATGAAAACCTAACAATCAACTGGTGGTAATTCCTTTAAATCCTTACTTTATTTCTGAGACTCAAAGGGTAAAATATTAGCATGTCTCATCATGATTTCTCAACCGCCTCTTCCCTTTTCAAGTCTATCTTCTAGTAATAAACTCATATACTACATAGAATTATGGCCTAATTTTCATATTATGTGCTAGATATTATGAGGACTTTATATATTAATACCCTCTAAGCGGCTCTATGAAGTAGATACTACTTTTATCTCATTTATATATAAGGATACTGAGGCACAGAAAAGTCAAGTAATTTTTGTAAGGCCACTCAACAGGTAGAATAACCTAGATTTGATCCCAAGCAGCCTGACTCCAGAGTTCACGCTCCAAAACATAGTGTACACTCTCACTTTAATACTTATTATTGTTTTCTCCATCTGGATATATTTATAATTTTCAGGGGGGATGCAGGTTGATAGAAGGAGACTTGACTTGGAGTAGCGAACACATAATAAAATATACAAATGATGTATTATAGAGCTGCACACCTGAAACATATATAATGTTATTAACCAATGTCAACCAATACATTCAATATTCAAAGTAAAAAAACTTTTTTAAAAAGACAAAAATTTCCTTAATGACTTCAGCATCTGGATCTCTTGATTTGCTTCTCTTCTTCCCCATTCCATCACCATCCTTTGGAATTCACAACCTGATGACCCTCATCCTACGGTAGTCGCTCACAATTATAACCCTTTTACCATGCAAACCTAACAGGTCTTCTCCAGCGACCCCCATCTTAATTCTACTCAAAGCCTCACACAAGCAGGGCCATGTTTTGGCTCCTCTTAATTTTTAAACCGCTCCACCTCTAAAATCCAAGAGACTAACTTTCCTCTCTAAGCCGAACCAATTATCCTTCCAGCTCCTTAATGCCTGACTAGGACAGAATCCGGGCTTCATTTTCCCTGTGTTTTCAATCTTTTGGACTCCTCTGTTATCCAGTTCTATTGCTCCCCTTCCCACTCTATTTGTCTCTCCATCCAGGTAGTCAGACACATTTTATGAGTTAACTTCTATTTTAAAAATAAAATGAAGAGTGCTTCAGCAGTTTAGGGGTCTGTAAGAACTTTAAGAAAAAATTTTTTTTTAAAAAAAGGTCTTCTTCAGTCTGTATTTTGACTAAATACCAAAGCAACATTTTGTGAGTAACCACAGAAGTTAGAAAACAAAAATTTAAAAATAACAAGAGCTAATACTTTATGTTTACTGTATGCCAGGCACTGTTCTAAGTGCTTTGCATGTTTTAACTCATTTAATCCTCATCAATCACCACATGAGTTATTACTTATTCCCATTTTGCAGATAAGGAAACTAAGGCACAAAGAGTTTAATTTGCCTATCATGACATTTAAGAGACAATAACAACACTGAAAACTGTTAACTAGGATTAGTAGCAGGAAGAGACTGCCTAAAAGTAACTCTATTAGAAATAAAACCACTATTTCTTCCAATTAAACCACTAACCCCCAAAGAAAATAAATTCGTTTTTCCCCAATTCTTTTGTTGTTGTTGTTCCAGAGGAGGCCTGCTTTCCTTCAAGAGATCTTTCAAGCTTGATATATTTTATGATCTGTACCCTCCAGCCATTACCAATACTCAGAGTTGACTGGTAAACTTTATTCTCTAAAAGAAACTCCTTACCCACCCCCCACCCCACCCCTAAACCCTAAATCATGGAATTTCTTTTTCTCGTATTTCCTCTAAGAGAGTTGGAATAATTGCGTCAACTTAAAGATTTCAATAAACAAGTTCAGTAAGCCCATATATATCCTGAATTCCTCAAGAAGTGAACGAGCTTGTGATTTCTATCTTTATAATGGCTGTATAATGGCTGGAGTTCAAAGTATCAGGCTAAGCAATCACCTGGAGTACTTCAAGTACAACTTCAAACGCATGAACAAATCCTGCTTTTAACCGTATTTTAATGGTTTCTGAAAGCCAGTCTTGCAACATTTTCACAGGTATGTAACTCTGCGTAGTCCCCAGGGCACCAAGTCCTACATATTTTAACTTAAAGATATTTTCTCCAATGATGATCTTTCAACTCTATGCACCACCTTTGACCCAAGGCTCTTTATTCGCTACCACGAGCTGGCGAGTTGCTTTCCACGGGCTTCTCGATCCGAGAAGGGTTTGAGAAAAGCAGGGACCAGGGACCTGTCTCTCCTGTGACATCTCACCTGCCCTGCCCCTTCCTCATCTCCCCCACGAGGTGCGAAAGTCCCCTTCCAGGCGAGGCCGCGACCGCAGTGGTTCTTAAAAAGAGCGAGCAACCTGCTGCCGAGCATCTGGTATTTGTCTGAACCGTGGTGGGAGCCCGACCCCCGGGGGGATCGGGGCAGGACCCGACGGTCTTCACCAGGCGGGACCCTCCGCGCCCGCGGACGGGAGGTGCCCCGGAGCACCGGGCACCGCGCGAAGCAATGGGTGCGCGTCAGCCGCGATCGGGGCAGCACCCGAACTCCTTCCCGTTGCAAGGCAGCGCAGGGAAACCGAGCCGGGGAGAGAGGAGCGCCCGGGCTAGCGCTGCCCAGGGTCCTGCCAGTAACGCCCCCGGGGGAAGTGCAGCGGCTCCCCGGTCCGGCCCGCTCTCCAGAGGAGAGCGAGGAAGGCAGGAAGCCAACTCCATGGCCGCCGCTCAACCCCCTCAACTACATTCACGCCCGGAACCGCTCGGGAACAACCGCGAGAACAGCACCAGGCAGGGTTTCGGCGTTTTACCTTGTATGTCGGTCCCAGCCGACCGCCATGTTTCACAGAAGCCCGGGTCGCTCGGGTTCCCGTTTGCCCGGAAATATCGCGAGAGCCAAGGCGACTCCCACCGCTGGAAACAGCGAAGGGAGACAATGTGGAGTTCTCGCGAGAAGTCCTTTGCTGACGAAGTGTGTTGTGAATCGAGAGGCGTGGTCAGGATGAGAGGGGCGTGACTAAACCGAAAGGAGGTTGCAACTTATTTTAGGTGTAAGCACGTGGCCAGAAGGAATCCGCTTCTCCAGGAAGGGTGCAGGTTTACCTTCTGACTGACCCTTGGAGGCCACAGAAAGAATCTCTCGCAGCTCCTGCTACTGTACTGCATTTCTGATGAAAGGCTTGGGCGCAGGATTTATCATTTGCAATCCTAATTAATGCATATTACTTCTCAATCTCTGCACCACGCTCCCTGTCTTTGCCTCCTCATTTCCCCTCATTGGGAATAGTTAAGCTTCCTTGTCCAGGCTTAGGTAATGCTTTTACTTATTTGCTCAGTGTTTTTGTCTTCCGGATAGTATGCTCCTTAAGAAAGCACATCTTTCTCACCCTTTTGTTGCCAATACGTATTTTGCAGTCAAATATTTCTTGAGAAAGTACTTCATCTTTTCCTAACACTTCACAGTAGAAGAGGTAATAGAAGGGACTTTGGAAAGAAAGGTTAAATGGGGACTATTTGAGAGTAAGCACATCTGTTATATTTTCCAATCAAATATTGAGGTTTTAATTTTCTGATTGATTGACCAGAAAAGTCTTACAAAGGCATATTGACAACTAATACTTAAGCATTGTTTTCCCAGTGAGTGCTGCCTTGGTTGCTTTACTTGACTTATCTCATTTAATGGTGTAAGGTTATACTATTATTTATCTGTTTCATAAATCAGGAAATTGAGTCAAGTGGCCATTAAGTGATTTACCCAAAGTCAGATAATTAGGAGAGGCAGGGACATAATGACCACAACACTAGACTACCCTTTTATTTGGTGAATTAACATTTATTGAAATACTAAATTTTACTATCCTAGAATATAAGGACAAATAGCTTCCACTGATGCCATTTCATTTCTAGACTTTCCTGTCAGGAGTAGTCCAAAAATGTTAAATCAACCTTAAGTTGCTTTATTTCTACTTCCCTCACATTTTTTAAGAAGCAGCATAGTGTACTGGTTAACACCATAGACTTAGTTACTTGCTCCCTAGTTCTTGGCTACAACTTAGAGAAAGAGGTACAGGTAAATTAAATGTTTTGTAAATAATTGAAATGTCCTAAAATTTTAACTAAAAATTTAAAAATCAAGTGATAAGCCTGATAAATAATTTCTTCAATGTCCATTCCTCATTGAAATTATGAAACTTACAGGAACCTTTCCTATCTGACTGTACGCAGGGTATTGTTCTGTGTGAATAAAATTAATAATTTTATGGGCTTAATAACATTTCCAATATTTACCAAACTAGAAAAAAATAGTAAAAGTGTATATTATAGTATTCAACTATGGTATATACATGATCCACTAGATATGAACTTCATGACATTGCAGATACTACTAAATTCTCAGGAGGCATGAAGCAACATTAAATTTCTGCGACTGATGTTTATTACTGAAGGTATGAAACACACCAAATCCAAGTTCCTCAATATAAGGGTTGGGAGAAGTGACGGTGAGTTTTTTAGTACCGACAAGAGACTTATTTTCCAAGTATACTGTTATAACACAGTTCCACCTCGTTGCTGTCTCAGCGATCATGCTTCTCCTCCAGTGACAGATGTGATCCAGTCCCTGGAGGCAGAAATTCTGGTGAAGACCTTTGAGGCAGTAGGATGGTAATTACTACTTCCCCAGCTCACAGTACCGATGAGCTTGCACTGCCCATCCTGGGCGCATTGCAGTGGTCCTCCACACTCTCCCTGAAACCAGCAAAGACAGAAGTTCTCCTGGCTGCATGATCTATAGTTGAGGCTAATCCCGAATCCACAGGATGATCAGACAAGGCATAAGTAACTCTTGCATCTTTTATTTCTACCCACAAGAGCATAGAGAACCAAAGCCACTCAGGTAGTTGGCAGATGTTACAGATATCTGAATCATATCAAAATCCATATTTTCAAGGAGAGGCTAAAAGATACAGTGAGTATAAATTAATTCAATACTGACAATAAAGTGTGCAGTGCAGAAAACTTCAAGCATCTACTAAATACAATGGCTAAATAATGGTTTTGAATTACACGAAAACCTCTTTATATCTTTAGTGCTACTTGAAGTAGGCACTTTGAGCTACCTAATTCAGCTATGAAATCAAACCATAAGAAATTATTATTTTTTTAAGGTTCAAAATAGTTGGATATTACCAACTTCACATAGTTCAACTAAGCAAATGAATAATTCCTTCTGAGAATTGAATTAACTTCAAGTATTAAATTAATAATCACAGCACATCAATTTAGCAATGTACTTATTCTTTTCACTTTTCATTTTAAAATTACCATAACTTTATACCTCTTTATTGTCAGCAAACACCCATTCATGAGATACACTGAAGAAAACTCCTACACTCATCAATGCAATCCTTGAATTACCACCCATGAGGATGATCCTGCAGCCCCACCACAGATATTGGTGTTTTTAATGTCCAGTCCCCAGTAGCTTCGATAAAATGTACTACTGATCAATGGAACCTCTGTCAGCTGCACAATTTTAGAAAATTCATCTTCTAGTAGAAAAGGAATAAAAACATATATAACAACCTAGATAAATGCTTTTAAGTGATAAATAAAAATAGCCCATATGTATTTCATAGGTTAAGGACCCTTATTCTTTCCTTTCAGCAATGTAATGATACTGTTAGATAATTTGTTTAAATACACACACACACACACACACACACACACACACACACACACACAGAAGCAAACTGATATTATTACTCCACAGTGGCTTTTACAACAGAAATAACAACAAAAAATTTTATGTGGGTCTTTTGCCTTTAGTACAGTCCTAAGAAGATAGGAAAACAAATATCATTTTATAAAAGGAAAAAGACAGAGTTTACACCCAAATCAGTTGTTGACAATACAAACAATACAAAATTCATATTTTCAAGTTAAATCTATACTTTCTTCCATTGCTTTCAGGGTTCTCTCATTCTTTTGACCTGAATTTTGTTTAACGGACAATATGTTTAAGTGCTGACTATCTGGAAACTGACAAGTTAAATTGCATTGTGACTTTGTCTTTAGTTCATCATATATTTACTTGTAACTTGTTAATTCAGTTGCAGAATACAGTGGAAATGAGACCAGAGTTATGGGTTTGATCTTTACACAGGCTAGTTATTGTCACATAATCTTTATACCCATTTACCATTTTATCAGACTATCACTTCAGAAAAATGTCTCACATCTTTGGAAATAGGCTCATATTTTCCAAGTATGGCGTTTCGCTGTAGTAGTATACCGTTATGAAAACAATTTTGTGTGTGAGTGCGTGTGTTCACAGTGCAATTAGAGAGTAATTATATATAAATTAGACACACAAATATTTATTAAGTAATAAAACCACTAGAAATTCTCCACCACAAGTTTTTACAAGTATCAATGAACTACTATCAGTGAACTAACATCAATAAATATGATGGCCTAAAACCTAATCAGTCACCTTTAGATCCATTATGAAAAAAACTTTTTTCTACTACCATTTTTATTAAAAATACAGAAAAATTGAAAATGAATAGACAATATACTCAGACTATGCATATATTTGTTTGGATTCTAATGTTGGAAGAGGTGGTGAATATACTCATGATGTGGTTCAGTTAGTCCCCATCCAGCAGTCACACATTTGGAAAGTACATTTATTTTATTGTCTTTTCCTGGCAAACAGATTGGAGAAACAAACTCTCCTAATCAAAAAGATGAGAAAGAGACAAATATCATTTAGTCCATAGGATTGATGTTAACATTGTTTGCTTTTCAGTGATGATTCTAGAAATATCTACTCTGATCTGCAGTACCCTTTTTAACTCTGTAATTTAATAAGTCTCCCAGAAGATATCTATTAATTACCTAGAAGGCATCATCCCAGTTGACATGTTACTCCTTTGTTCCAGGTAGTTCCACATCCTCCCAGGACACTAGAAACACATGCCCCACACTGGAATGTGGGGCTCCTGGTTTCTCATCCACAACAGTTTTTAAAAATCTGTCTGCCTTTTTGTCCACGTACTTCCAGGACATCACCTGATTGAATTTGAGATGATAGTGGAGGAGAATATAATTATCTTCTTTTTTCAACTACATAACAGGAGTGGGGAAAACCACATTTGTAGCAATTTAAACCTTTTATGCATCTTATAGCTAACTAAAGGCTGGTGCACGGATTAATGCACTGGTGGGGTCCCTCAGCCTGGCCTGTGGGGATCGGGCCAAAACCAGCTCTCCCATATTCCTCGAGGGGTCCCAGATTACGAGTGGGTGGTTTTCCAGTGATGCACCCTGGAATCGGGCTTGACACCCGAGAACCACAGCTACCGAGTCACCGCAGCTCAGCAGCTCCTGTGTTGAGCATCTGTCCCCTGTTGGTCAGTGCACGTCATAGCTACTGGTCAGACAGTTGAAGGGTCGGCCAGTCAGCTTGTCACTTAGGCTTTTATATATATAGTTAAGTAGTTATATTTAATTTTATATTTAATAAAGGCATGCTACAAACTATATTTATACATTATACGTTTAAACATTCCCTCTTTTTCTTATGAAATTTGGGTACACATAAATATTGTGCATTTATATGTGTGTCTCTGTGGTTACACACTACATACACAGAACACCAAATGCAGTGCTCCTGGTTTGTTGCCCATGTTGTGGTTTACTGTTGTTCCCTTTCTATGAATGATAAAGCCATGGTTCAGAACAATTACATCACCTGCCCAAGGCTGCCTGACTACTAGGTCATAGGGCCAGGTTAACACTTTTATGGTAGCTTTGGTTTAAATAAACATTTTAAAAGGACAAAATGTTAGTAAGTCATGAAGGGACAGAAAATTGAACATCTAATGGTTCAAATTCCTGTTCTAAGTTTTTGGGTTAACCTTATAGTATACAACAGTCTCAGAAGA